ACTGGACCCTGTAATGCCAACCAATTTTATGAGGTAATTTGACTCGCAGAATACGGGCGATTCACAGTAGAGTGCCTCCAAGAGTTTGCGACGCGTTGGCCAATCACAATGCGCGAAATCTGTCCACCTTTTCTAGCGCGTTAGGTCGAAAGATTTCGCGCACTGTGATTGGCCAACGCGTTACAAACTCTTGGAGGCGCCCTACTGTGAATCGCCCATTTGAAGCCATATCTGCGGTGGCACAACGCTCATGGACAGGTGATACGTGCGCGTTACATGCCTCTTTGACCAGTAGGGTGTCGTGATTTTCCAAATGTACGCACGCGTCAAGCTGAAGAATGTGCGTGTGAGTGTGATGCCACTTCAGTTATGGCGTCTAATCGAATTTGTCCATAATAAGGCTGTGTCATTACGGGTGGTTACTTTCTTCGGCTTCCACACTACACATAAAGATTTGTGTAGAGGGTGGTTTAATTTGAGAAATGAGAATTAACATGTTTCACTTTTACCATTAACATAAAGTAGAACTCTGTCAACGCTTCTTGAGATCGCATCATTATTCAGCGCCCAGTGTATTGCCCGTTCCCTTGGTTGGGTATGCCAGTGTACCGTTCCCTGCTGGTCTGAGGTTGGATTTCCCCGTCTAAGTGAGTTGATGACGATCACGCGATCACGTTATCCAGGAAAACAAACCTGGGCCGTTTAGTCGCAGGAAACCACAGATGTTTTGTCCGCCGCTGCTCCTAACGGAAGAGGCAGTAAAGCGAGGGACAGATGTCAACCCCATGTCACGGGCGACTACCCGTTTCCCTGTTGACAAAGATTGAGGGATGTATACATGACTTGTATACATGTACTTCGATTCGACTTTAAGTAGGCATAAGTTGGTTTGCACATGCTCGCACCGTGAAAGTCGTGGACATAAACCCCGTGTGGATGTGGCGGTATACGATACATGTACATCCCTTGCGCTTAATTAATTGAATTGCCACGGCCAGGCAATTTGAGGATTGTTGGTCTCCCCATCCCCCCTTCCAATGCTCCGGCGGCACACATGAACACCTCAAACCTCGCTGATGGCCACAACTCCTGCCACCTCGACAAATGAAATGCGGCTGCGCTGTCGACTGATTAAAATTCAAGAAACAGCATAGGCCTATTAGAAAACGAATCATCGAAGCAGGCCGCAGACAAACTGTCTATGAGAGTGTGGAATTCATCATCTTCTACATCTGACAGAGAGCTTGAAGAAAAGACGGGTCCGATCGACAGAATGATACGACCTGCAAATAAAAACCCCGATATAAGCAGTCACCATGACGAAGAGCTTGTTATTACACTAGCAAGATGCGTCAACGAGCAAGCGCCATGTTTTCTTAGCCTCATTTTGCAGAGGTTATCCAAACGTGCGAGTGTATTTTGGGGGGCCAACAGCGGTGGTTCCGTCGAGCCAAGTTTGAAATAATAGATGGATCGTTGCAGCATGAGGTCTCTGGAGGTGACGACCGTTAAAGTGAACCTCACCCTCGCGTCGCCACTTGTTCCAATCCGACTCAGCAAGCCTTCCCACACTCATGAACGGACTGACCCCCAGCACGACCTGACGCTGTAAATACGTACAAACACCCCCGTGTCACCGCAGTACTAGTGCACGTGCTGTCACGCGCATCGCTCAAACGTTCTCGTTCAGTCTTGGGGCCAAGCTCCTCCGTCAAGCCAGTTGCCTGTGTTTTCCCGTCTCATCAATCCACAGATAGTACTTTAAGATGCGGAGTAAGTTGTCACTGCATAATGTTGTCGGGCTGATAGGAAGCTTTCTCTGTTCGCTGAAGTGGCATTCCGTTCTGGGAGATAAAGCTATATGGTTTGTTGTAATATGCATTGGCCAAGGTTCAGTCAGTGTGCGATGGGCGGGTGCTTTGGGTGTACGTGGTCGGTTTCTGTTTTCGACTTCGATGCGTGACTTCAGTTAATTATGCAAGAGTTCTCTATTTGGATTGCGTGCGTAAGCCGTTCGGTTTCACTACTTTCACTTGCGAAAGTATAGCCTGTTTTCCAAAAGCAACATTTTCAGTTCAGATTTCTCAAAGGACGGATGGGGGTTAGCGTATTTGCAGCCATGTTTGCCTCTGCCAGTCTAGTCGTCTGCACCTGTTCAACTAAATCGTCCGGATTTTAATTGTTAATGGCGCATTCTCATATTGCTAACATGTTTTACTCGCTGATCGAGTGTCAGAGAAAACTATATTACATGCTGAGATTAGTGGTATTAATTTGAGTGCATTTCTCCGGGAGATGGAAAAGTCCAACCAATCAGTGTGGATTTCTTTTCTGCATAAATCGATGACTTACATCGGGTGAACCATCAGATGTTCTGAGCGAGCTGCAGCACTCAACGCAACGATGGCGATGAACCGCAGAAATAGGCACTTCTTCCAGATTGCCATCGCCACCCTATTGGTCCTGGCCTTGGCCCCCTTACTGCTAATGATCATCAGTCGGGACCCCTCTCTGATCCCACTCTCTGATCCGGGCGGGATTCAGGGAGGGCATCTGCTACAAATGATGCCTCATCGCGGCAGGCAGTTTCCGTGGGAGATGGACGAGTACGCCGCGCCAGCCAATGTAAGTGCGTCCTTTTGCTCCCCTGTTTACACTGGCCTGTGGTTTGTTTTGGCTGAATCATTATGACATTCCTTAAGAGACATATCTTATGGCAACACGAAATACGTGGACTTGGACAAAAATACAGATTCAGAGACAAATGCCTGTACACGCGCCCTCAACTGCGCTGACATTGTTTTGTTTATTCATAAACAGAGCGGGCAGATTTACCCGTTTCACCAACTTCTTGAAAGGGTCTCTTACACTGAGTTAAGTCACAACAGCAACCTAAATACATGTGACGTGCGGGGGTTGATGTGCAGGGATTGCGTTGACGTTGGTCATTATCCCTTGCTCTACCTGTATGTTCTGGGTTATACTTTCAGCAGGGAAGCTGACTTTTTGCGGTGGCATTTGCCTGACATTTATCGGGAAATATGGAATTTCCGATCAAATGCAGAAGTTCAAAACCCTGACTACTCCTCATTTTGTGTACATGAATAAATTGGAGGACCTGAAATCCTTTTCAAGACAGAAGAAAACACAAACATGAAAACAAAACCTACTGAGTAAAACTGGCGTCATAGCTTTGTGCATGCACTGTTTGACAGGCCTCGTTTTTACAGGTTAATTCGATCGACTGCAAATCGCCTCATCAATATGGCCTCACTCGTTTATGAATGATATTGTCATCAGAAAGCTGCCATAGTGCAGCAGCACGCCCCATTGCCAAAACGGGAACCGATTTGTGCCGAGCAGAAAATGTTGCATTATAATAATCACTTAACCAGAATCAGCAATCAGAATGTTTTTCGCAACATACTGGTAAACTTTACGCTGAAATTTATAAAAAGTAAACATTATCTGCTTGGCAAATTCTGTGCTCCTGTTAGTTTTTTCCGAGCTTGAGTGATTTCTCCGTCTAGTAATTAGTGTTGTAATGAAGCGGTTTCAATAATTTTTTTGTCCGTTCGGTTGCTTGTGGTTTGGGGACTATGCAAGTTCTGTGGAGCGATTTTACACCACGCTATTTCTGCGTGATCCCTGTATCGCCAGCGCGCGGCAGCTGCGGGGTGAATTATCTTGACTAACAGCGAGCAGCTCTTGGGATCAGGGAGGAAGCGAGCTGTTTATATCACCGGTGGCACAAAGGTTGCAGACAGACTCTGAACCTCATTACAGATTTCGCTTTTCCTCAGAGGGACTTTACCCGGGTGGTGATCGTGACTCTTGGATTTTATGTTGCTTCCTTAGAAAAACAAAGACATTCGAAACAAAACAAACAGCCGTGCGCGTGCAATTACTAACGCTATTGACTTTTTCACATCTCGACATTTTTAGTTAGGCCTAAGCTTAACCTTATTTTAAACCATCGTTACACTGCTTTTTTGTTTTTTTATGCTAATGAGCTTTCTATATTCATGAGTACAAATGTGATGTCATTCAACGAAAATGTGCATTGGTTTGTACATGCGCACAAAAGTTCTACATTTTTGTAGATTTTCATGCACTAAATTTTCTCTTCTTTGAGGATTCATTGCTTATGTGCTGAGCAATAAGCAAACAATTTAGAAATGTAAGAGCAGAAAAACCGGTATGCTCTGAACTTTGTCTTCCCTATAACATCACATGTACACTGAGCAACAACGCCTTCACTTGTCCAGTAAAGCATGGATAATTCAAGTGTTCAAAGAAGTCCTCTTTTCTATGCTCTGTCCCAGTAGGAATGTAAACATTTCTTACGTTAAAGAAGTGTTCAAAGTTGCAGAAAAACCACATCTAAGAAAAATACATTGCAGCTACACTCTTAAAAGATCCATGGAATGAATTTTCTAAGAAGCACTTCGTGTGCATCTTTGCACCCTCCTTCAATGTATGAAGACTGCTTGAGATCGGGTTTTGCATTAAAAGCATTTTTTAAACATTCAAAATTGACCAATCATTTCTGGACAAGTGAGGGTGCTTTTGCTTTGATGTACATGTAAATCCAGGAAGACATGGTTCAGTTTGCATGTTTTCATGTTCAACTTGTGAACTCCAAATTTGTTATCTGAAAACATTTCCGTGGAAAGGTTGCTTGCTGGCTTATTGCCATATACTTACACCACAATAAATTGCCAAAGCAAATGAAATCTAGTATTTGAAAAAACTCTAGAAATCTTCTATGCACAAATCGGTGTAACATTGAGATTAAGTGTAATTTAATCATTTAAATAATTTGCTTATGAATATGCCAAATCATTAGCATAAACCAAAAACCAAAAAAGCTCCAAAATATGGGCTAAAATTACAAACAAAAATTTCAAATAAGGTTAATTAAAGCCCAAAGGTGCAATTTCAAGTGTTTTTGTAAAATATTTCTATTTCATGGTCTCTTAATAATTAAAGAGACGTCCCTAAGGGAGTGAGAACTCCGGGCATTAACCCTACACGGAGGAAGAAACTCAGGAAGCGCGGTCGCAAAACCCACGATTTCTGAAGCCAATAATTGTGATCAGTGAATGCAACCAACGACAGAGAACTGCATGCTTGGCCTTAGTTATGCATGATGTTCATCATTGGTGTTAAAATAAATCTGTCAATTAACGTGGTTTTATTTTTGTTTAGTGGTGCACACGTTGTTCGAGGTGGTAAGGAAGGTGTGCTTGATTTTTAAAGGAAGGCCCCAACTATTTTGCAGTGGGGGAAAGTGTTGGAAAAGCGTGGTGTTAAATTAACAAAATCTGGTGTAGAATTAATTCCAGTTGTCATCTTTTAGACCGGTGAAGAGTGTTTAACACCCGGTGTTGAGGGTTTACGCTTCCCCTTTAGGCCAATGTGTAATTTCCCTCTGGAGAAAACGTAACTCTTCATACTCGGAAGTAGTACATTCTCGCTTTCTCTGGCGGGAAGAGTTCCTTTAGCGTCCGCTCACACCTAATAAAATATTGATTCATTCCCTGCCTTATGACCTTGACAGTTGGCATTCAACTTGGTTTATTCCTGGATTCGAATTCCCGTGTTCGTCAGTTTGGGCCCTAAATCTGCCTGTTCTGTCAGTAGTAGGCCCACCCAGCTGCTGGGAACGAAGTAGTTGACTGATAACTATACAGCGCTCCAAAGCTGAAAAGGATTGAGACCGTAATAGTTGCCCTTCGGTCATGTGAGCATCGTACATGTGTGATTACATATAAATAAAAAAAATAATAATATGCATAAAGTTTTCAGAAATACGGTGGCAGCTTTGCTTGAAGAAATGGGCTGTGTGTCTGCTTAATGGGCTAGGCATATTTATCAAGTTAATTGAAACTAGATAGATATGCCTAGCCCGTTATATGTGAGCCTACTTTCACATGATTATTTTTGGCGAGGTAGTCAGAAATTTTGAAAGTTCCATGTTATTGGTTTTTCCATGTCAGCATATCGGGTGAGCAGCTCCAAAGAGATCCTGAACTTTGAACCCTTGATTTGATCGACATTTCATACTCCCTGTGTTGCAGTGGGTTTCCTTTTCAGTTCACAAATTAAAATTGTTCCCAATTAAGTAAAGAAGGTCCTCCCATCAATCAAACATGAGCAATGACGTCAGACCACTTGGATACATGTATTGCACACCGTACCGCATATGATGTTGGTCGACTGCGCCTGTACACAGTCTAAGCCAAAGAACAAGTGTATTCGTTTATTTGTCACGTTTAGAATTCTTTTACATAAGGCATACTGGCCTTGAACTATTTAACCGAAACTTTTGAAGTAAAAGGGGATGTCCGTTTCTAACAACGCATAGACACAATTATATATAGAGAGAGACTGAAAGTTCACCCTTGGTGGCGCCTTTCTCAAACTTTTGAATGGCAAGTAACGTGTGTTGGTATTCGTTTTTAGAGTTTTCAATTGTAGCTCGTTCATTTGCTTCTGAAAACAAAAAGGGCCTTATAGATCACATGCAAGCATAGAAAATCAAACATTACCTGACAAGATAAAAGAAAATCTCAAATGCATGAGTAATAGTGCAACTCAGTGGACTCATACCCAAATGACAATTTACGAAATTATTTTTGGGGTAATCTTCATTAAAATCTGAACTTCTAACGGGAGACCAATGGAGTAATAGCCTATACATGGAAAGTGCTAAAGTCTAATTTAACCTTTGCGCCAGCTCGACCAATGAATGGTAGACCCCTTCGGCAGTACGTAGGTAAATCTTCGCAACCCATACATTCTCGTTCTCATGCGCAGGGTTAAAAAACGTTGGCCTAAATGGTTAAAATCAAACGTGCACGGACAAGGAAACCTAGAGCACTGATATGTGTATGTGAGGGGTCATAAATGAAATCTCTGTTTTTACCAATCTTCACGTGACTTTTCAATAACTTTAGACGAAGGCAGTATTCGGACAAGAGTGTTTCCTGAGGTTGTTTCATTTAGAAATAATTTTATTCAAACTTACAGAAACTGATATAGTGGCCCCATGTAAGATGCCCGTGCATAGCTTTGAAACTCACGGCATGTGACCATGATCTGCGGGGTGTATAACATGTAATGTTATTGCAACCGGCTGTAATCTACAACGTATTGACAAGAATGTAATATAAAATCAGTGCTGTGGAATATGTGATGCTTTCGGTAAATGAGTACCTTCTTCAGGGCAATCTTGCCCTGAAGAAGGTATTCAGTTACCGAAAGCTCGGTAATCACGTCATATTCCAGAGCACTGATTTTATATTCTTGTCAATATTCTGATCACGGTGCTACGCAACCCTTCCATATTTCTTTAATCTACAACGTTTTTGTTTCACTTTTAGTTTTTCGTTTCAATTTGTTGGTGGGTGTTGGTGTGTTTTTGTTGTTTTTGTTTTAGACAGCATGACTAAAATGACGGCATACTTGTTTGTGGCTCAGCCGTGGGCCGTTGTCTCTACTCATATGTACTGGCAATGGCGTATAGATTTGTGGCAGCACAGGTCCATGGCGATGACAACAATTTCCCGGCCGGGGACATTACAAATGTGGACGTCACATCATTTCACGGGGGTGCTGTTTATGATTTTATGGAAAGGTCATAGAAGGAGCGTAAAATAATTGAACCATAGAACGCACGAACAACTCAGAACCTCGCGAATGCCTACACACACGTGTGATCTCGTAAGTTTGTGGGCGTTACGTGGAACATTATGTCGCCCTATTTTGACGCAAACTTGGCACAGCGTACAAAAATAGGCGTGACACCTCTAGCGTCACGGTTGCTATGATCTATTTGGGTAAGGCCAAAAAAGTCTTTCGTCTCTGATCAGCGCGCGTCAATTTCAAGCATGCGCGGCAATCTTCTTTGTCTTTTTTTTCTGCGAGAGCTGCAACAGCTCCCTCTATAGACCGTATTCGCAGAGGTACCAATTTCAGTCGGATTTCCCAACATAGTGTATTCATTTCGACCCACAAAATCAATTGGTACCATCCCATTATGGGTTCCAAATGTATACATTACGTTCAGGGGTAATACTGAAACTAGGTCCGTTAGGATACGGTCGAATGCTGCACTTTGCGGCAATGTTTTTGCGGGCAGGTTGATCTTTACTCAGGGTGATAGGCCTAGATCCCGATCGACGAGATGTTGCACATTGAAAGCAAATTGAAGTTGTTTAATGTCAGCTTATTATTATAATAAAGTCAGTCTCGCCCCATGACTCAACAACGTGTGTGTGCAATTGTCTGTATTATCCAACCCTGGAGGGAAAAAATAAACGATAAAAAACTGCGTTGCCGCATCAATTCCGGAGCATCAGTCTGACCAGAGACAAACTATTTCGAGGGGCCTAATTGACGTAAATATACACGAATCTGATGACAAGACTTGGTGTCATTTGCGGCCCCGCACACCAGTGGCGGTAAAGTGACTGTCGCTCTGCACACTCACCGCCATTAAAGGGGGGATGTCGGAAATGTTCCATTGCTCTATTTCTGCCCCGTTTCCGTTCATAGTAAGTTGTTCTTGTTGGATTTATACGCCACGGCTCATGTAGCAGCAATCGTAGAGATGCATATTCTGTTCAGCGTCGCCACAAAGCAACGAAAGCCTTGTTTATTCCCACTGTGACCCGCTGCAAACCCAGGGGCGCCGGTAACAGCGAATCGTCGTTGGACATCTACTTGCAAGACTTTTCTTTCCAGGGATCATCACTTACGCGTGCACACAAAATGTGCTCACAGATTGTGACTTCATTAAAACTGTGGTAAACCCCCTTGCTTCTGGTTCCCTCCCAAATTTGTGTGCGGAAAGAAATTAGTCGCCTCATGTGCTCTTGGAAAAGGCTCTTTGCCGCCAGCGAATGCCAAAAACAATTGATATTTTGGCTCGTGCCAAGCTCTTCCGAATCGAATTGTGGGAATTTGTAATTAGGGGATTGCGTTTCCATGCGCATGTGTCGAAAATAGTAAACTGTATCTTGTTCTTTGAGAAACGCAAGAATCAAGGCCAGGAAAAAAATAAAAACCGTCGAGTGATTCAGAAATGTACTGTCTCGGTAAAAAAAAAAGCACTCTTTTGTGGAAAAATGAAAAGTGTAGCAATGAGAGCAGTTAATTGACGGAGTGCCTGCAAAACTGCCGTTATTCTGAAGCCGAATCGCCAGGCACTGCGAAAGCATCAACAGTTTTAAGTCCGAACGAAATTTCATAAATTACGTGGTTAACTTTGTGTATCTTATGAGCCCCCTTTGGAGACATAATTCATCCTAGTGTGAACGTTTCAACGACTGGCAAGCAACGAATTCGATTCTGTTCGCGTTTAATTGGAACTACCATCACATCACGCCTTATAGGCCTACGATTATCCGAAACTAAACACGAAACGTCGCCCTGCCTCATTACTCTCTGTTCGCGACGCCAACACAGGCATTTCCACCACACATACCAAGGACATAGGTGACAAGAAGATCATTAAGGCCTCTTTATAGCGCGACTTCCTGCCTCCTCGAAACACAGCTTTGCAGTATCTGATATACTCGTTTCATATTAATAATCACTCCATCCTGGTGTTCTGAGACTTAAGGCAATAGGCATATGTCTTTGATGTCATACCGCATCCAGGGATCATGAAATATAAATATTTTACAACACCCTTGAAATTGCACCTTTTGGGTTTTGGTTAACCTTATTTTAAATACCCATATTTTGTAGCTTTTTTGGTTTTTATGCTAATGTACATCTGCATATTTAATCTCAATCTTGCACCGATTTGTGCACAGAAAATGTCTAGATTATTTTAAACACTGCTACCATAGATTTCATTTCCTTTGGCAACTTATTGTTGTGTAAGTATAATTATTATGGCAATAAGCCAGCAAGCAACCTTCCACAGAAACGTTTTTAGTCAGCAAATTAGGAGTTCACAATTTTAACATGCAAACATGCAAACTTAACCATGTCTTCCTGAATTTACGTCAAATCAAAAGCGCCCTCACTTGTCCAGAAAATAATGTTCGGTCAATTTTTAATGTTTAACAAGTGCACTTTTCTGTTCACGTAAAGCAAAAAAGATTTTAAACGGTCTTCATACGTTGAAGAATGGTGCAGAGATACAAAAATAGGGCTTCAAAGAAAACTTCATTTCATGGATCCTTTAAGACAGTATTGTGTTGTGCAGTCTCTCGGGAGTGGCAGGTTGGCGGAGATATGGCTAGGCTTGTCATATCAATCGCCCATGACCATCGTTGGAGGCGTTAGCCGTGTCGATTACCGCTTACACTCGCCCGATGTCTGGTACTTCAAACAGCACTGCCAAGCCACCTGCTCCCGCCTCTCCCATCGCAAGTATTCCACGCTTCAAGGACGCCATGAATGAATCATAGGCTTTCCAAGTTTAATGTGGTGCACACTGTACAAATTGAATGTTGTCCTCTGGGTAATTATTAAGAGAGATGGAAGCATTGACTGACGTCGGGCAATTGTTTCCGTAAGTGCAGAGCCATGCCCTGAAAAGTGCAGTGGCCGAGATTCTTTTGAAGTAAATGTCAACTCCACGTCAAAAATATATTAAATCTACTAGCCCGATGTTCATATTTCATACTTGAAGGTTTCTGAAAATGCCTTCGTTCATTTTGTTAACGACTTTATGTTTGAGATATGAACGTTGTACAAATTAGAACAGACATTTTGGATGACAGACATGTTAAACGGCACCAAAATAATGAAGAACGAATGGCCAAGTCATTGGGGATGGATGACACCCCATTCGGCTGCTTCCCATCCCAAAAAAACATTTGCGACGCCCAGAAGTGCACAAAAGCTTGGCTGTGCTTAAACAATAAAAACATTCCCCTTGTAACGTAAAACTGACGTCACTGCAGAGTTTGTCCCTTAAATTTGGAAATTCCTGTATGTATGGAAGTTCGAATCACTGATGCTCCAAGCTAGGCCTCCATTATTGTCAAAACGAAAACTTTGTTATGAAGAGTTTAGGAATAGATTGACGAACTAAACTTTTGTTTGTCATCCGTAGGTTTTGAGCACTTCTCATCACAGACCTCAAAATTTGTCTTCCGGTCAACTAAAGGACTCTTCTGAGCACCAAGCGGTCACACCAAGAAACTCCCCAGCAGAACTCAAAGAGACCCTGGGAAATTATGAACCAAACATACCTGCCCCAAGGCGGAGCGGTGTCGGGGAGAACGGGATCCCCGCTAAGCTGCTGGCATCGGAACAGGCTCTGTACGATCAGAGCTACAAGGAATATGGGTTCAATATGGTGGTCAGTGACCGCATCTCGCTGGACCGAGCTGTGCCGGACATTCGGGATCCACAGTAAGTGAAGTGATCTTTGCTGGCTGAAACAGTGAAATAGCGAACAGGATCAAGAATTATCAAATACCGTCGAATGACCATCTTCTTACCCTGAAGCAAAGCCATATCTGACCGGTACAATGAACCTGAGTGCAAACGAATTGAATATAGGCCTTAGCAAAGCCATCTCAGGCGGGTACAATGAACCTGTACAAACGAATTGAATATAGGCCTTAGCAAAGCCATCTCAGGCCGGTACAATGAACCTGTACAAACGAATTGAATAAAGGCCTTAGCCAAAGTTTTGTCATGTGAAATCTGGAATCGCACACTTAGTTCATTCGGTCAGTGATAACGCTCTGAAGTGGTGAATCTAGAATCTTAAACTAAGTTTTCAGCATTTAAACTGCAAATTCAGCGTCAGGTTTGAGTGCTGATTCAAGAATTTATGGGGAAAGAGTGAACATGTTCAATTAACATTTTAACTCTTAAATCCACTCTTTAAACTTTGAATTCAATATTTAGAATACGGCATGCAGCACTTTCAAACGGTTGTAAATGGGCACAGAATGTAAGTAGTGGATTCAACATTTGAACTATTAACCGTAGAAACAGTGCGGATTTGAACATGACGCTTTAAACGGTAGCTGCTATCAATTGTTGAAAACTACAAACCTTCTAAATGCATCTTGGGGTCTCAGTAATATTATCTTTTCAACTTTTGTTTCACTGTTTCAAAGAATATTTTACTGCTTTTTTTGTTTTCATGCTTATGAGTATTTCATGAGCAAAACTGTGATGTCATCCCAGGAAGAATGCATCAATGTCACTCTGGTTTGTACCCCTGCATTTTTCAATTTTGTATGGTGAACTATTTACGACACTTTTTATCTAGGACATTTCTCTCTCTCCAGGTAACGCAACTTCACGATGCGACGGCACGACAGCTCCCTTGTGTCGAACCGTCTGGTCGCACCGTCGTCTATGGATTTCCTTACTGCCATTTTACGCGTCGCGTGTGTGGCGTTGCTGCTTGGGTCTGTAGCCACATGCGCTGTCAACGGCGCGTAGTCGCGTCGTGCCGTCACATCGTCGCATCGTGCCCACGCATAGTCGCGCTGTGCCATTGAATCCCCGTGCCGTCGCATCGTCGTGCCGTCTATCGTCGTACCGTTGCAACGTCATACCGTAACATCGTGGAGTCGTCACATCGTCGGACCGTCGCATCATCGCTCCAACATTCCTGTGATTTGCTTTCGCTTAGTACGTATGTGGCGCTGCTTTGACGGCAGGCGCAGACTTGATGACCCAATTCTATCTTGTGAACTATTTAAAAAAATGTGCGCAATTTCTCACGTTGTGGAAAATGTTCAAGTCTCTTGCGATACATCTAATTTATGGAATCGTTTTAGTACTTGTAACAGTTCCTGAGCAGTCCATTATTTCGATTTTATGAATTAGTTTGTCGTGTAACTTTCCCCCACTTCACGTTCAATGATTTTTCAAAATTTGCATATGATTTAACTATTCACCTTGACATAATTATCAGGAGATGAGCTGGTCTGCCATTATTTTAGAGCAGGTTGCACCTGTCCTGAAATTTGTGGCATTGTAGAGATTTGTCATGGTGTGCATTGCAGGTATTGAATGAATTTACTCCCAGAAGTGTTTGAGAGGTACAGAAGCGTATAGGGCCACTTGCAAGAATATTTTTCTGGCTACTATCTCGCCGCGGCGAGTAAAATCGTTGAATGTGTATCCCGCCGCGGCGAGCTATAAGATCTTGCCGCAGCGTCAAATTAATTTCCCGCCTCGGCGGGATATTAATTTGACGCGCCGCAGCGAATATTTCAATAGTGTCATAAGTCCTATTTACCACACCGTTTTCATATGTGTCTTTAGGGTGAAATTTCAGTGAGATTTGGTTTTAGAATGCTAATTGGAACAAAAGGGGATGTAACATTTCACCCAAGCTTGATTTACAACACAAAAGAAAACAAAAGAAGTCTCTTTTGGGGTATGAATTTCCATATCCGCAAGAGGGGTGACTGCCTGTTGAAAGGGTTACGGTGCCTTTTCATTTATAGTTTAAATAATCCTATTTACATACGCACCACGAGGGGGGGGACCCTGAAAAGAAAAAGAAAAAGAAAAGAAAACAGCAAAAGAAATTAACATTAGAAATGAAATAGAACATAATTATTTGCTTGAGAGAAAAAAGAAAATCGAACCTTTTCCAGCGGTAGAATGGTTTTGTTTTAACTAGACGGTTGCCCCCCCCCCCAAAAAAAAATTCTGGCCACGCCCACGCATATTTTTAGCCAATGCGTGTTGCCATTTCGGACTAAAACTCGATGCTGATATCATTCTAACATTAAAATCTGCTATGATTTAGGAGATTTCGGCAGGCAAAAAGAAAAATGAAGTGAAGGTGACGTGAAAACTAACAAACACTTTCTCATCAACTGGATTGAAATCCCCAGGCTCTTTGACCTCACATACATGCGTTCACTCGTCACAAACCACCTATACAGTACAGGGCGCTGGGAAGGGCAAATACGTAACATACGTTTTTGTCGAGAACAAAATTGAGTGGATTCTATATGCACCTGAAAACGGGTCGACTCTTCCGGCTCGGTACGCATGACACGTGCGTGTGCACTCATGCTATATTTGGTTTGAGCGTCCAAAGCTATGAGGTATTTCATGCGTTGTGTTTTTAAAAGTACTGTCTTTAATCTCCCATTTTAACTACTATTAATTAATAAATTTCAACCGATGAAAGTTCAAAATAATAATAACTTTCAGGTCCGCTTGCTTGTGTTTGGCACTTTGAAAATGTAGGAAGGCATTAAAGACAGTTTATCCCTCATCTGAATGTAGAAATTCACACCAAAAACTAAGATTTCGTTGTCTTTGTGTTGGAAATTAGGCTTTCTTGAAATGTAACATCCTGTTTTGTTCCAATAAGCGATCTAAGACCAACTCTCAATGTATTTCATCCTAAAGACGAATAGGGCTTATGAAACTATTGAAATATTCGCTGCGGCGGGATATAAATTTGACGCCCCGGCAAGATCTCATAACTCGCCGCAGCTAGATCTCATAACTCGCCGCGGCGAGACAGTATCTCGAAAACATTTTTTGCAGGAGGCCCTTATACGCTTCCGTAGAGAGAAACGTTCCTCAGGCCAGACTTTTTTATTCCTTGGTCCTCTAGCAGCTTTAGGTTAAAACAGCTAGAGTGGAGGGCGGAACAAATAAATAAATGTTTATTTTCCGTTGCTCAAAATATCAATTGGCACATTTAAGAGTAAAGGAAGAAAAACAGAAAAAATCATTTTGGAAATGAAAGGACAAACGAAAAATTAAGAACGGTGGCACAGCTTTAGCATTTAAATCTATTTCATCAATTTTTCAGAGCAGCGGGTCCGAGGACCAAGAAATAAGTGTTCCCCTAGTGGCATACCCACGGAAGGGGGGGAGGCACGTCCTCCCCCACAAATTCCCGGTGTCCCCTGTCCCCCCCCCGAAAAAACGGATGCACGGATATTGAACAAAACTAACAAAAAGTTGCCTCCAAAAACCACACCACCGAAAGCTGTTGCCCCCCATAAGATGCTGGTGCCCCCTTTGTGCCCCCCCCTTCCACGCCACTGGTGTGTCCTCATGAACAAAACATGAAATTATCCACGAGTTAGGAATGTCTTGAGAGATAGGCCACTGGAGGTGCCAGTCGGATTATTGAATAACCCAATTGAATGATATAAATCAGATGAGTGGTTTATAGTTTTTAGTCACTATTGACCCCGCTCTCCTAAAATGCCTGTACTACAGGGTAGGGAACTTCAAAAGTAGGCAATCGATAATATTTTAGCAGGTCAAGGAAACGGAAGTTGGTTGTACATGCAATGATATTCCTGAGCACTGTGCGCCCCTTCCAGCTGAAAAATGAACAGGCCTACAGATTGCAAATGCAACGATGCCACGATGTGACGCGTAAAATGGCAGTAATTGAATTCCACAGTCGCCTTCTTGCCATTACGTTTGTACACACACGACGCGTGCTGTCTTATGTCCTTTCTATGTTGCATTTTTTTCTGCCTAAATGTCACTCCTTCCGTTGCCCGTCGCGTCGTATGTCGTGTCATGTGTTGCGTATTACGCCGCCTGAAGCACGACGCAACTAACGACATGATGCACGACGCGACGCGTTGTGTGCTGTCGCCCTTGGCTTACGGTGTTTCTTCTGTTGATTCAAATTACTAAACCCATAAATATGTTATCACAGGTTTTCAGGACCCAAAGTCAATTCCAAAGGAAGGGGTGTACTATGTGTTGCCTCGTTTTTCTGCTTCAAATGGAGTGTAGTGAATGGGGAGGTGGAGGCTTCGTTGAAACGTTCAACTTTCAGGCTTGAACCCTTTTGATATAATAGATGTCCAAGTGACACCGTTTAACAGAAATGCCAATAACAACATGCTACCCCTACCCTTCGCTTTTTCCAGATGTAAATATTGGCACTACCCAGCTACACTTCCCTCGACAAGTGTGGTGGTGGTGTTTCACAACGAAGGTTGGTCAACGCTGATGCGCACCGTACACAGCATCATCAACATGACACCCTCGTTCCTCCTCCGGGAGATTGTCATGGTAGATGACTTCAGTGAGAAAGGTGAGAACCTACACGTACGTTCTTCATCCGGGAATGTCTTCATGAGTTCCTGGCGACAGTTGTGTCAAACCGTTTGCATTACCCTTCATGTTTAGTGACACGAGTTTTAGACATTAAAAATGTTCTTTATACTTTCCTCGACGTTTGTGAAATTTGTCATGCGATCAATCATCATTATAACAGACCTACTTGTTATTTAGCTCGAAATTCCGGTTGTTTCCCACAATTCACAGGTTTAGGTGAAATGGAAACTCCTTCCCAAAATTAAATCGATATTTGAGTCCTGAGAGTCAAACGAGAGAGGGCACGCTGTTAACGACGAGTAAGCCTCTGTTCCGCTATGCTTCGTTCGCATTCCTTCACTATATACGACCCAGCAATGCATAAAACCAACAGTGGCGATCCTTCGCATGGTTTTGACAGTCCATATCAAGAAAAGACAACGTGAGAACGCGCGCAACTCCTGCACAACATCCTGCTTTGTCAACTTTAAAGTGTACCTGCAATATTCCTGAGACCTGATTTTCTGCAACTTATCTTCGATGTATTAGGTGTTCTTCTTGGGTTAAGTACATTTGGGAGTGCACTTTTTAAGCTTTTCATATTGTCTATGCTTTCCTCCAAACTGATGAGGGCGCTGTTGCTGTGATGTCATCCAGGGTAGACATGGTTCAGTGCGGAGGCTTTTCTTTTGTGATCATGAACCTAGAGTTTACTATTCACCGAGAGCAGTTCCGACCAATTGCTTGCTTGCTTATTGCTACAAACTTATACAACAATGAATCATCAAAGAAAAAAAATTATTTTTTTTGCATCAGCCTATGTAGGAGGGAGGTTTTCTTCTTACGATAATATCACAGTTTAGCTCATTAATATGGAAATTTAAAGGTTAACTGCGGCACATAGGTGCATTTTGGAGGTTTGTATTGAAACAATTTCATTGCAAAGCCTTTAAATACGTTACCATCTTGCTGTTGTCCAGTCTCACCTCCATGGTGTCACCAAGCGAGAACATAACTAATCTGATATCCCGTTCGATCATGTCATGAGTGAATGCATACCAGGCAGCCTATGGCATGTTGTGAACACTTAATGAAATGTGCGCTGTGGAAGCCAATGACTCGCGGCTGCATTCTCTACAGACAACTGAGTTACTCAGTCACCGTTAGCTGATGTATATATATTTTCCTTTCAGAACATCTAAAAGAGTCTTTGGAGGAGTACATTGCGCAACCGCAATTTGAAGGAAAAGTGAAGCTGTTCCGAAACACGAAGCGCGAAGGCCTGATCAGGTCACGGATCACTGGTGCCCAGAGGTCTCGCGGTGATGTCATCACGTTTCTAGACGCACATTGTGAATGCAATGTCAACTGGTTGCCGCCTCTCCTGGCCGAAATTGCTGCGGACAGGTAAAACAAACTGCAGGAAATAGGTCGCACTTGTAATGCGAGACCAAAGGGCCAATGGTTTTTAGTGATGGCTTTGGGCGAAGAAAACATTGCGTATAATAGTAATTTCTTCGGTCAAGATATTGTAGAGCTGACGAGATGGTGTCAATTTGGAGTTTCTGTTTTAATGAGTCCACTTTATATAGTTGACGCCTCGGTAATTACTTTCCCCCTTGCCCTTGGATACCACGGTTGCTAATTTAACACCAAAGCCTTTGCAATGTTTGGCTGTGAAGTTAATAAGTATCTTTTTATGCGCAGTTATTATCTTCTCTAGTCGCTTGTGGGTAAAAAGAATGGGAGCCTTGAGTGTCTGCCTCTCAACAGCATTTTCCGGGTGTTTACAGTTCATAACATATCCCCATTACGTCTGGTAATATATAAGCCTTTTGTGGTATTTTTAGACGTGCGTCTGTTCCTTCAAACAGCTAGTGTGGTGAGTTCATGTTGGTAAAATGTTGACGACCAAATGTGCTTCGATTTGACAGGCGGGTCGTTGTATGTCCTACCGTAGACGCCATTGAAGCAGACACGTTCGCTTATGGTCCTCAGGTTGACGGATTGTGCCGAGGCGCATTCGACTGGGAATTTTGGTATAAACGGATTCATGTTACCTACAGCAAAGACCGATTGGGAATGAAGTACAGTAGCCAGTCGTATGAGTGAGTTGAACTCCATACATTTCCATTTACTACCGGGGGGGGGTCCGGGGCGGGGGGCGTGTGGGGCGTACCCCACCCCCTTTTTCACCAGAAAAATTAATCAGTAAATGGAAAGAGAAGAAAAAAGGGAGGGGAAGAGAAAAAAAGTGGAAGGGGTGGACCCAACCCCATAAATGTGACAAAGGCGTTAAAAGGGGTTATACTGCCTGAAATTGCTCTATGTAGCACCTAGAGTCCGAAAGCACGCCCCGGACCCCACGCCGTAAGGGCTTCGTGATATGCATTTGCGGGCATTATACTATTGTTGGTTTATAGTTCACGGCCCCCTCACCTTTTGCAAATCGTGGACCCGCCCCTGTTTACGGAGCACCTTTGCCAGAGGGTGTGATTTTATTTCTGTATGTGTGTTCTAGTTTGTCTTGTTTGTATGTTTTTTTTTATACCTCTGCCTAACACTGCGACTGAATTAGTCCACAATGATCACATGACCGGCCGATAAAAACGCACATTGCCTTCCTCCTGGCCTTGTGCATCCAACAGCATGATATTACAGACTAGTTCCCGTCCCACAGTCAAATCATGATGCAGGGACCGCGCTGCCTACCAGACTACTCACATTCATTGGTACCTGCTATTTGACTAGCGTGTAGTAATGAAGTCGTGGAAGCAGTGCTGATATACTGTTTGATGCTTTCAAGCAACGTACTGATCCAGCTTTGCATTGGTTTACCGTAGCGATGCATCCATTCCGTGCGCGTCGTACAGATTTACCTCTGGTGTCATGAGTCCGTCGGGTGTCAAAAACGTCACATCACACATCACAGCTGTCCTTCACGTTATAAAACAAACTGTCCAATTAAAAAAAGTTTGTTTTGCAGCTTTCTGTAACCAGGAAAGAGGCCCATGCCTCGTAGAAAAGGAGACGAGGGTGAAAATTACATGGAAAAATCCTGGTGACGTCCATGTCCATTCATGATGTTTTTGAATAACGTGTCCCACTGTAGCAGTTTTGGCTGTTGATCCAAATTATGTGTTTGAACAATCTTCCCTGTTGGATGATTTACCGCTGCGGATTGAAGTGAATACCTGAAGGATCTGTAACCTCGAAATGAAAAAGTCAAATAAAATAAACACTGAACTCGACTTGCAGTAAGGGAATAAATACCAGATTCATAACTCCGTAACATCTGAAAAACCGAGGAACAATCAAACGTGGCATCCCAAGTGGAATCCCGAGCTTTTGGTGCTGAAAACTTGCTGCAATTGTATTGGGTTTCGTTTCATTAATGTGCAAGTGAGCAAAGTAATGTGAGATGCAGGGCGGCTGGGGCGGGGGTCTGACAGGGGTGAAACAGTGGGTTTATCCACAGTGTCGTTCAGGCAACACGAAGGTCATTTTTGTGTTATACGTTACGCTTATGCTTATATAGCGGTTGGTTATTGTAACAACGATTGATTCCTCCTTTAAAAATCCCCGCAGCTCTCCTGTGATGGCAGGGGGATTGTTCGCCATCGACCGGTCCTATTTTTTCCAGCTTGGAGGCTACGACCCAGGCCTCCAAATCTGGGGCGGGGAAAACTTCGAGATTTCATTCAAAGTAAGTCCTGAACAGGCCTTTGCCAAACGGGAGACCGTCTTCTGATGACGAACAGAGGGCACTGAAACGTCAAATTAAAACAGTTTGTGCCCCTCGGAGCCACATAACTCACACAAGCGATTCACCTCCATAGTATTATACTGCAAACCTTGTTTATCGCTTTGTGTCAGATACGAGCCCCTCATGATTTTCCAGTTCCACAGGGCTGTTGATGGGAGGAAATCAATATTATTTTGCTCTCATGTAAATCCCATAATTCATTTGACCATACCAATGTACCAAACCTTTGTGGAGCGAGGGATTTTCACACTTTGAGGGTATGACAGGAACTCTCTGGGGAATAAATTGATTATTTAAAAAGAAATGAAAAAACTGAAAGCGACAAGATATCAGTCACAAAATCAGACTTTCAAAGAAAAAGTATCCTTGAAAGGGAAAACAAATTCTCAGATTCTTAGGTTTTTGCAGTTTGAACGATAGACATCTCTCTCTTTGCAGATTTGGATGTGCGGTGGCAGACTGAAGTTTGTCCCATGCTCAAGAGTTGGACACATTTACAGGAAAGGTGTGCCGTACACCTACCCAGATTTAGGGACGGGTGTGTCAGTTGTCCGAACGGTAGGCCTAGATGCTTGTCCTTGTCACGTTTACGTGAATAACAGTTCGCGTCTTTCTTGATAGTTTTAGGTCTGATGAATATTTTGTAGTGCTCTCCTCAATTTGCCTGCGCTCCCTTATTAGGACAGGTGGGTGAAGGTCAGTTTTGGAATGTGCATTTTGTCGATTGAGTGGCATGGTTATATAATAGGTTGGCGTGGAAATTTTGGCAGGGCTCTTGGGGTGCGGTCTCTGAGGTTGCATGTTAACAAAGTTTGAAAAAAATTGCGTTCGTTTCCAAAAGAGAGTTGACGTTATTGAGTTTTGTCAAACAAGCAGAGTATGTAACATTTTTCTTGAAAATGGATTCAGAAACCTCCATGCCACTTGATGTCGGGGTTTGGAGCCTACAAGAAAGGCATTTGTCACTGAGGACCGTACTGAGATAGAGGTGACGTTCCAACATGACAGTAAAGTTAGTTGATATTGAGCAATGGACATTCCCATAGGTTTGTACAACGAATGTTCGATTTATTTTTCTTAACACATGGGAATTTCCCATAGGATTGTAAAGGGAATGTCTGTTTGTTCTCGACATTGGAAATAAGACATTTCCTATACAAACCTATGGGAATGTCCACTGTGTCGAGAAAAATCAGACGTTCGCTGTAAAAACCTATGGGAATGACCAATGCCCAATGCCCAATGTCAAACTAACTTCACTCTTGTCGTTACAAGGGGAAGGGAACGCTGGTGTCTACTTAACAAGTGCTGTACCATATACAAATTTAGGGCGTAGCACTGTAAACATCGGACTTGGCGGGCCTTAGGAAGATTCGAATTTTAATGAGAACGATTTTACTCACTAGAACATTCAACTGCGTCGGTGGTGACGTCAACACAGCGCGAAGTTTGAAATATAAATGTTGTAAAAATATCTTGAACCGTTACAATTGTTGTAGGTGGTACCCTACTAAGAAAAATTACTTCTAAGTTTATTGAGATAATCAGTCGGAAATTAATTGAAACAATCACTCAGACGTTCACTGAGGAAATCAAAAGATGAAAGTAGTAAAGAATAGGCTTACTTCCCAGAATTTTAACAACCATGCAGAGGTTGAAGGTGTAGTGGGTTGTTGAAGCTGGTGGTAAGTTGAATCTTGAGAATTTCCTGTTGGAAAGAAATAGTGTTGTACCTGAATTTGGAAGTACACTGTATAGAGGTTGAGACGAAACTGGATTTTCAAGTTGGCGAAATGATTGAAGGAGTTATGGTACCCAAGAATTATGGTCCCCAGATTTGGGAAGTAATTGAAGGAATTAGAAAATTGGAAGATAGCGAATCTGTACTTTGGGGAGGTAGAAGAATTTTGACCCACACTGGGATTGGAATTCCATTTTATTGTGGGCTTATGGAAATTGAAATATTAACTGAGAATATCGTAATAGCTGTTGAATGTTTGAAATTCACACAGCTTACCAATGTAAATGAAATTTATCATTGACGTTAGCTGTATTCTAAGGAAGTGTGGCTCTTCATCTTTTGAATATTTGCTTTTTCGTGGATTTGGGAAGAAAAATGTGCTGGTAGTGTAAATAAATTGGTAAGAATAGTCTTGTTGTTCATCAATCATTTCATGAGAGTAGATGGCATTCCTCATAAATTTTTATTTGCCCGAGAGAGTCACAAAAAGTGACCATGCGAAAATCATATGATTACGATGAATATTTGTAGATGCAGTTTATGGATGCACGACCAGATTTTTCTCGCCGATAAATTTTTAAAGAGCCCAAAAGGTATCCGCAACACTTAACCTTTCCTAAATTAATGGACTGCACCTGTACACACAATGTTTAAAGTCACTGCATAGACAGATGTTAAAATTGTTTTCTCTATACTACCACCTTATTCAAATTGGCCTTGAAATCTGCGTCTCAGATGCCCACACGATAGGCAAAATCCTCCCTCCAGTGCTCAAATTTCTCCTGAAGAAAACGAGCTGTTGACACGTTTACCGTATTTTTTGCTGAAAATAAAATTGCCCAGTGCTGTTCAGTCTCTTTTTTTCTTAGTATGCATGTGCCGTTTCCAGAAAGTTTAGCCGATTAGCCAGTATTGGTGGCAATGTTCGCCATTGGTGGTGGTTGTTATCACAAAAAGCATACCTGAAATGATTTGAAGTTATCTGTGCTATACCATTCGTTGACAGAACTACATGCGAGTAGCGGAGGTGTGGCTGGACGAGTACAAAGACTTTTTTTACGCCAACCAGCCCGAGCTACGCGGCAAGCCGTACGGTAACATCACGGAACAGATCAACTTCAGACGTCAACACTGCCCGAAGTCCTTCGATTGGTTCATGAAGGAAGTGGCATTCGACACGCTGGAGAGGTTTCCTCCGCCTCCCGTCAACAGACTATGGGGACAGGTACTCAAAACTATGGGCAGCCGACTCTGTTTTGTTACTTCTATCCTCTATGTAAAATCTCATGTTAAGCAAACACATGCATCCCTGAAGAGCTAAAACTCAAGATGCATGGTCCATCAGGCATAACTGGAAACACTAAATGTTAAACAGCACACTTCCAAGTTTAAAAAAATTGTTAAAAGCATGAAAATAAATAATAGGCAACATTTCCAACCATTATAGATTAAAAAATCATAGATGGGATTTGAACTTGACTCAAGCAAATCAGGTTGGTTAAAAATTACACACACCACCTTTTTTCATGGAGGAACATTTTAATAATACAAATCCACGTTTCTTGATGAGGAGTACTTCCGGACCTAATACCCAAAACAGTACATGATGGGGTTCGAAAGTTCCAAATGCCGTCAACGGAATCCCAAGCCCCTCCCTGTTCCCGTCCTTCATGCTCCATAATAGCAACGACTGCGGCTGTTCCTGTAAGTGCTTTACGTTGGAAAGTTGTGGGCCGGGTTTAGTGTTCAGAAGACCTGTTCTGCAGGCCAAGGGTCTCCAGCCGGACTCCACTCTAATGAAAGCCCACTTTCATTAATCAAAGCGCCGGTAAGCGATGGAGCATTGCATTTCATGTTGATACCATGTATCAAGCTATCCTCAAATCGGACATTACTAGAGAAACAAATGTCTTTTATTGCACAGTGTGGTATTTTCCCCTCCGTCCATTTTTCCGTAGGTCCTATAATCTGGCCCTCTTTAGGGATTTTTGTTATTTGGAACAGATAATATAAACACTTACCATGTGAGCTGTGATTTTAATATTAGAAATACATGCACATTAAATTTGGAAACTATGCAACATCAATAGATTTGTGTTCGCTACTTGTAAAGTGCTAGATTTAAATTATTCTTGGGGGAGAAATAGCTTTTTTCAACAATAATAAAAATAAACGCAAAGCTTTGATTTGTTTTTCTGCTAGATACGAGGGCTTTATAGCGATATCTGCTTGGACACAATGGGGCGCGAGGAAACAGACGGGAGGTTGGGCGCATCTCGCTGCCATGGTTTGGGCGGGAATCAGCTCTTCCGTCTGAACGTTGCCGGTGAGTTAGCAATCCACAGTTACTGCCTCGTACCGGCGGGACACCGAGTCATCAGCCGGGACTGCAGCCACGTAGGCAAGACGGCACTCTGGGAATTCGACGAGGTAAATGTGACTTCGTGGTATGACTTGAAGATATTTGAGGTACATGTACTTGGCTGTGACAAGAAACTAACATCAGTGTCATGGGAAATACACGGTGTGCCGCTATGGTTGGTAGCTTCCATAAGCGCACGTTACTTCCAACCGCATATCGACAATCGTTGCATATTGTATAAACATTGTGCGTACAGAAAAATGCAACAACAAACGAGTTATTCATTGTCTTCATCTAATTTTATATCTCTCCAGGGCACAGGACAGTTCAGAGAGAATAATACTTCAAATTGTATCCATCTTAATATGGGAACTTTTGAAGTGACGATTCAAGACTGTGATATCAATTCATCGGCTCAGAAATTTCAAATAGCGCCCCCAACGCCCAGATGACACCAAGAAAGGAGCAGTTTAAACTGTTGTGTATCGCTTTAAATTAAACAGTACATTTTGTAAAGATTGATGTTAGTGCATCAAAGACCAAGCAACTTGAAAATCTTGTAGTTCCTCTTTAGATACCTTCTTTTAAAACCTGTGCACCCATGCTCCTGTTTACATTTCTTTCTCATCGGTTGTGTCGATTTTTGTGAATCGATAAATGTGAATTACTTCGGTGCCATTGTCTCTGAATTCTTCAAATGTAAATGAACAAGCTATCACTGGAGTCTTTCATAGACATCCAATTCCACACGATGAGAGAGCACTACAGGGCCTATACGATAGCCTCTCGAAGGTATACTCAAGTTTAAATTCACCCTCTGTTGTACTTGGGGGAAATGTACCTGATATGGTGTGGTATCCTGACGACATCGCACCCCCAACTGGCAGTATACAATTGTTGATTTAGCAAACGATTAATTTTGGAACAGAATTAAGGCGGGGTTTTGGACCATAGAAAAGATCTATCTTCTGGGACAGAGAACATCTTGGTTCTGTTGTTACTGTCCAGGCCTGTGCTTAATACGCAAAATGTTCGAGCACAGTCAGGAATCAGTGATCACTGCATTTTAATTGCTGACATCATGGTTGCACCCCCCCTTTAAAACCATCAAGGAAAATATTACAATGGAAGAATGTTGATGCTGAAAAATACAAGAAAGCAGCCACGGACTTGCAGAATTCCTTTGTAGAAAACACTCCAACTTTCGAGTCTGTGGAGACCAACTGGTGCTTCTTTAATGATTGACTTGCAAAACAAATCGACGATCTAGTTCCATAGAAAAGTGTTAGGGGCAAAGTACGACCACATGGCTCAGCCTTCAAGGGGGGGGGGCTTTAAAACCTTTGAGAAACGAGTAGATCGGGAATTACGTCGAGCACGTCGCTCCTACATCGCAGACATTACATCCACTGATCACCCCCTAATGAAATAAGTCGTAGCGGAAAAAATAACAGTGGTTTACAGATCCTAAAGATGAACAACCTGGATACTATCAAAGATTGCAACAAAACAGAAGCCCTGACGAATCAATTTTCAAGTGTCTTCAACAACAAAATGGATTTTCATTACCAGTTATGCCAGGTGATCCAGCTATATCATATATTTTTGTGTCTTTGGGTGGAGTCTTGAAACTACTCGAAACTATCCATGTCTAAAGATCATCTGGTCCAGATGAGATTCCAACCGGAGCCCTTAACGTAGGTGCTGCCGATATAGCTCACCTCCTTGCATTTATATTCAAACAGTCACTTGATGCTGGATCATAACAGATCGAGGTTGGCTTATATTACCATTTATTCAAGAATGGTTCTCCCTCAAGCCCAGCACACTATCGGCCTATCTCCTTGACATCTACTTGTTGCAAGTTAGAGGAACATACTGGAGACAGTTATCTCAATGAACATCTTGAAAATCATCAAATTCTTGTTGAAAATGAACATGCTTTCCGCAAGGGCAGATCATGTGGAAGCCATCTTATTTCAAGTATACGTGACTTTGCTAGAAATCAAAACAGCAATGTCACCACTGATTTAGCGGTCTTGGACTTTGCTAAAGCCTTTGACGTCGTGTCTCCTCGAAAGCTTTTGCATAAGCTTAGCCATTACGGAGATAGGGGGAAAAACATACCCGGATCTCAGTATTTCTTAGTAATGGCTTTCAATGCGTAATGGTAAACGGTAACTCGTCAACGTGGCATCATGTATATTATAAATGGCATCTGCAAGGCACAGGGGCAGGAAGTGCTATCAGGCTGTTTGCAGACCATTGTCTAATCTACAGGAGCGTACCTCTTCTGCAGATGAAATGCCATTCCAGAATGATCTGTGTCACCTTGAAAAATGGGCTGCCGCCTGGGGCGCCGTGTGTTTCAACATAAGCAAGTGCAAAACCATGCGTTTCATACGAAAGAAAAATCATGGCATGATGTCCTATATACACTGTAAAAAGGTTGGTCAATTTTGGGTTGGTATTTTGCCCAATGTTGGTAAAAATATCAACTTAGCAACCTTTGGGCACATTCTTCCCAATATCTGGTCAATATTTGACCAACAGTGATGTAGCTTTAACCAAGGTTGGGCAAATTAGAAATGCCCAACACTGTTTTGCCCAACTGTTTTTTACAGTGTACCATGTCCGGTGAACCTCTTAAGGAAACTGAAGGTGTCACATGTACTTGAGTGTAATCATTCAAAATGATCTTAGATGGGAGAAACAAACGAATCACGTAGTCATTGAATCATCAAGAGCGCTGAATTTCATTAGGCGTAACTTCCACATGATGCTCCAGATCCATCAAAGGGAAGCTCTAGGCTACCGGACACTTGTACGACCACACTTGGAATAAAGTATTGCTGCTTGGAATCCGTACAGAGTGAACCGCATGTCATCTATTGAGAAGATTCAACGGAGAGCTGCTAGAATTGTTTCTGGAGACTACTCAAGAAAAAGTAGTGTGACAAATATGCTGGCAACTTTTAATTGGGACAACTTCCAGTTGAGACATGATACCCACCAGGTCACAACCTCATTCAAAATCAGCCACCGAATCATCATAGTAGATACCAGTTACATCTTTTTGCCTAAAAACTAAGGGTCTCGGGGCCCATAGCAAACAATTTGAAAGAACCCACATTTTATCATCAGTATTTGAACATTCCTTTTTTCCAAAAACCATTAAAATATAGAACAACTTTCATCAGACCATCATTGATTCACCTTGGTCAGTAGTTTTTAGTCATAACTACAAACAACTATATTGCAGTAACCCTCTGAAATCAAAATAGTTTCCACCCTGCTGAATATCTCCCTGTTAATAGTGGAGAATTCAGGAGGAATTTCTAGCAAGTACTAAGTTATCCATCTCGGTTTAGATACCTTTTCCCCCTAAACCTGTGCACTTACAATCCTGTTTACATTAATGTTTCATCGGTTGTGCCAAAGTACATATCTGAATTCGACAACATGCACGTGAAATTAAGGAACCAGTTGTAAATGTAGTGAAATCAAAGGACTGTAAATTCCATTACGTTCTTTATTATGAAAGACAGCATATCATTGAATTGTGTAAAGCCATTTTGTGATCTAAAAACATAAAAAGCATAGAAGTATCCAGTTCCTGGATTTGAAACAAGCAATAATTTTGGGAAAGAAAAATCAAACTTTCCAAGTTATTTTAGATTTGGTATAGTACCTAAATGTATAGGATGTTATGTAAATGGTGTTTTTTTGCAATCCTGGACTCTGCATGTAGATCACTGTGCATTTGCTGAAGATCAAAAAGAGATAACACTTCAGAAATCACAGGTTTATAATAAATAGACTGATTCTGTGTGATTTCCTAGCATAAGTTTTAAAATCTTCAGGTCTGACACGATAAAGTTATTACGTGCAATAAACGTGTCAATTTGTTTCGGATAATGTTGATTTGTTTCAGGAATTTGTAAAATCACCGCATGTTTTACAAATTGCTTTCCTTTATTTACTCTAATGCCTTACCTGGCTTTTTGACGTCAAACTTGTGTGATGAAAGATAAATACAATTTTTTTCCAGTTTTGAGTTGATATCCCATACAATTGCACCAATTGGAACTTGCCACCTTATTCAATTCAAAGATTACTCTGAAATTTTCTTTTAATTTTAAATTACTGAGAGACTTATGCCCGATGCCTTTACAGTGACGTCGCGAAAGTAAGCACATCTCGAGATTAACATTTGTAAGAACAAAGTTTCGTATTAGATTCTTAAACTGTTTGGAAGTTATTGACCGATATATTGACTTGAAGTAAGATTTCAGTTTAAGCATTTTAAATGTATGTGAACCTCGACCTTTCAGTAACACTATAAGTAAAGCTTAGACTTTGACCAAACTGACAGATATGAGAAATCAATCAGATGCACCAATATAAACTCTATATTCCATTAGTTCATGAAATACAGCTGGTAGAAGTTGGTCTTTTTTCTAAAAATACAACCGATAGTCATTTGATACCTGATGACGTCATTGCGAGTCACATTAAACGGTATATACATCTCTGGAGCTAATTATTAGACCGCTTGTGTTTTTAGTCCTTTTATGTCAACTAGAAGGTGCCTGTGACCGTGACATATACTTCATCCTTCACCGTCCCATTAGTTAATTATTTTAAACATAAATTCACCTGAAAAGCACAAAGGAGAGTCTAACAACATTTCATTTTCTTCAAAATGTAATGTTTAGGCCATACCACAGTGATACGGCTGCTGCATCAATTTGGCATGTTACCAACTTTGTCTTGTTTTAGATTGGAGAAACGGAAACTATAGCTGTGATTTTGTGACCACAAATCAAACAGGTCTGTCTGATATCAGTATTTTGTGGCATGGCCTTTGCTCTTGATGACAGCCCTGATGTGTCTTGGCATGCTGTCCACTAGCTAAGTTCCGACATTCTTCTGGTGTCGCTGCTGCCCACTCGAGACGCAAAAAGTCAAACAGTTTTGCTTTACTTGATGGCTTATGGTCTTGCATTTTTGGTTTTATACTGTTCCACAAATTTTCAGTCGGGTTCAGGTCTGGTGACTGAGCGGGCCAGGACATGATCTGGATGTTGTTATCAGCCATCCATGTCTTGATTTACTTCGCTGTGTGACAAGGGGCACTGTCCTGCTGAAAAGAAAAAAAAAACAATTCTCAGAGTTTGGAAACAAGCACTTGGCTGATGGCAGTAAATTTTCCGCCAGACGTTGTCTTGTATGTGTTCTGGTGCATCCGTCCTTCACAGAGCCGAATTTGTTCAGTACCAGCTTTACAGAAGCAACCCCATATTATCACAAAACCACCACCAAATTTCACCGTAAGAATCAAACATTCAGGTTTGTAAGCTTCTCCAGACCTTCTCCTCACCATCACATGTCCAGGAGTAGGAAACAACTGGAAATTAGACTCATACTTGAGCCCAATCATCAACCGTCCAATTCTGAAAACGGTACTCGAGTAGTACTCGAGTACGAGTACCGAGTACGAGTACTACAACACTGGTGCTTCAGCAAACTGTAGCGTGCTCTTCCTCTGCTTCTCACTGATGAAGGGCTTCTTTCTGGCCTTTTGTGACTTCAAGCCAGCTTCCACGAGCCTGTTACAGACTGTTCTCGCTGAACATCTCACAGTGGTTGAACTTTTCCCACACTTTCTTGAGATCACTGGATGTCAATTGTCGATTTTTGAGGCATGAACGGATAAGACAGCGGTCATCTCGAGTGGAAGAAAGTCGTTTCCTGCCTCTATCTGGCTGCAGCTTGGTGTTTCTGTGTTTCTTATGCTTCTTCTTAGTGTAGTGGACTGCAGTTATCGGAACATAGAGCCTTGTAGCCATCTGTCTCTCACTGTAGCCTTCAGCCAGCAAAATCAGAATGGAGTTCTTTGTTGTTTCGCTCAACTCTCTACTTTTTTGGCATGATTAACTGAAAAATTGTTCCTGTCAACCGCCGTACTCTGAGTAAAACCATTATACCGCAAAATCAGTGTTTTACAATATTTTTAATGACGTCTGCATAATTTAAATTCTTTTGGAACAGTGCTCTCATGGTCAATTTGAAAAAAGAAAATCGCCATAAAATGATGGTTTTGAAACTATCCAAAAGGAATTTGGCAGTAAAATGGATAAAATTTGTACTTTTTCCAGTTTCTAATTCTATCAGCTAAAAATAATTTGCATACATGTATGTATTAAAATGACTCAATATAATGTGAAACTTGGCAAAACATTAGTGGTCCAATAATTTGTTCCAGAGCTGAATATTGAGCGATAAAAGTTTGTGTTCTTGTCAAGTTTCAAATTATACAATATAACATCTCGGAGAAAAGCTGGGGGAGAAGCGTCTTTCGGGGAAAAAAAGGAGAAAGATGGACCATTATGATAACATCCCCAAGAGGCGATCCAAATACTGAATAAACTAAGTTACAGTGTACTGTACTTTGCACTGGAATATCCGCCTTGTGTATACACAGAATTCACGATTCACACGAATTAAATAAGTCATCGTGAAAGATATTGTTGCGTGTTGAACTTTTACAGTAGGGCAAAAACGTTACATACACTTGGTAGAGAAACAGTTTCCCTCAAGTTTTTGCCGTATGAAATAGTTTTGCCAACTTTTTTTTTTATGAGGTTAGGCCAATTGTATCTCAACTTTTATTATTTATCAGTAATTTAAGCTTGGTCCTTCATGGGTCATGTTGGTACTCGAGTCTCTTTCGTTTCTCCCTTTTTTTCTGTTTTTCCACCGGCAGCATTCAAGTATTTTGCCTCTTAAGTCTCCTACTCATCATCCCCGTTATTTTTCCCCTTGTCCCCCGTCCCTCCCAACATTCCGTCCTCCCCATTTCCCGTTTTTCTGTGTTGCTTTTGGGAATATAACTTGTGCGCGTGTAGTATATTGTATATATTTTATGTTTAATATGTGTAGTTGTACTTTGATTTGTTTAATGTAATTTTAATGTATTTTTAGTATTTGTATATATTACCAAAAAAATCCCCGTAATTGGCGGGCAGCCGCTGTTGGTGACTTAAATAAATAAATAATAAATAAACTTAATGTTAATCAATTGAAAAAACTCAGATATATTTATTATGGTTCAATGTATTAATATTTCTGAAAAATCCTTTTTTGTGAGAAATTTAACTCTACCCCCTTCTTGTGGTTCAAAAACACTTCAGAAAGTGGTGCACTGCAACTATGAGATGTGATTAGAAATACAGAAGGTGGCATTCAATGTTGGGATTGGAGAATGTAAAATTTTGATTTTTTTGTAAACATAAATATGAATCATAATAGTATTATATACATCTCTGGGTGTTTTCATTTCACGCATACATCATGTACATTAGGTAGAGACCCATCTTGTCTGTCCTTATGAAAAGAACAGTTGGTACGAATGCGTGAAGCTGTGAAATTCGAGGAAAACTGTTTTTGTACTACCAGGTGTATGCAAACTTTTCGCCCCAACTGTACATGTTTGTATGAAATTCTGATCCCAGAAACAGTCAAACAAGAATATACTTGGGCATTATGGGTTCTTGTGTGCTTATTATCATTTTGTTATATTCCACTGAATCTATCGACAGGCATATTGAGCCACACAACTCACAATGCCGAAGTACTTTCGTACAAAATGTATCTTTTCTTATAAATATATAGGAATAAACTTGTTAATTTAATTAAGCAGAAATAGGCAGCTGCATTTTTTCTGAAGTCGTTTATAACAGCATCAACCAGCCGATCATGCCTTCAACCACTGCAACCGCAAAGGGATTTTCGGTTTACCAAAGCTTTAACAAGGTGGCATTTAAGAAAAGCTGTTATATATGTCTTTCTCCACAGCAAAATATGAAATCTGAAAAAGGGTTTTGAAGGGTTTTACGGGCTTTTAATCGATTCAAAAACGGATGGAGCTATATTATTTCACATTTTATTAAATAAGCAACTGCTGTAGGCATTGATTTAATTCGCCTCTGTGATTCAAAAGGATCTCGAGTTGAGTCTTTTTTCATTAGGGCATTGGCAGATCGACGGCCGGGTAAAATAGCAGCCATGCCTCCAACTATTAAAAACGGAGCAATTTTGTAACTTTGTTTGCACTCCATTTTTTATTCCTTCCAAAAGACTTGTTTAATTAAAACAGAAATAATCCCCACCATTCTGATCCCACCAATTTGATCCTGGGTCCGCCCTAGCATGGAGGTCGCATTCAGTGATGTCAAAAGTCGATTTGATTACAAATACATACAAGTTTTTCTTAAGGTGCAGACTAAAGCTGAGTTGAATGATATCACAGGAGTTACTTGTTTCAGAGATTTGAGTTGAATTGATATAAGCAGCCAAAAATATCGGGCCAAGCTGATTCGAGGTAAGTCATGAGTCCACTCAAGTTAACCCTTCAGCAACCACGCAGCATCGCGATATGACCGATTTTCTGTCCAAACGACTTTCATTTGAAACTTTTTCGACGAATGTACTGATAAAAGTGGGAGTAAATTAGGATATGGTGAAGAAGGTTTTTTTAGGAACTTACTTTATAAACGTAGCATGACATGCAAAGCTTTTGTTTCTGTTACGCCCCAACTATATACCATCAGTCTCAACTATAGTTGGGCCCGTCCCAACTAGAGTGCTACAGTTGGGACGCCCCAACTACAGCAGAGAGGCCCTGTGTGCATGATGTGCCCAGCATGTGCCAAAGTCATATTATTTACAAATGCCGTGTCACTGGACATAAGGCTAGATGAACAGATGAAGTGCCACATTTTAGATGAATTGTGTCAAGTGTGAGACACATTGACTTGGATAATGTTGAGACAGTTCCAACAGACATTGGTCAAAAATAGTTGGGCCAGCCCAACTGCAGCACTACAGTTGGGACTGTCTCAGCTATAGTTGGGACTTATGCTACAGTTGGGGCGTAACATTTTCCCCTTGGAGTGTACTAATTCCATGGCAGTGTAAGTAACGTGGTCAAAGTGAATTTGACAACACTGATGTGTTTTGACATATGATGGGTATATGTGTGTATTACAAAGTGCTTTGTCATCCCTACCACAACCTCTATCCCCAGTTCTAACCCTTATTGTATCCCATCCACGTAAACCTAAAATAACCCTTACCCATCGAAAACAAGCATGTGGAACGCCCCCAAATCTAACACGTACCCTAAGAACCACAGCAACAAACTATTACTTAAACTATGAATTGGTCAAATTCAGAATACCAGAAAAGCATCAATCGGGTTTCAAAAGCACTAGCTCTTGCAGAAAAGGCCAACAAAATACCACTAAAACTCATCCTCATGAAAACGCAGCTACTTTACTGTGCTATCCGCCTCGAGCAGAAGCACCCCTTATCGGTTGAAAAGAGCCGCTTTGGTCAGGAGTGTTCAATTTGTTGGTAGCGTGCACTTCCTAGTCTCTCGTGTACCAGCGAAGTTCAGTTCCGACCAAAGGAGCCACCGTTGCTAAGAAAATAGCGTCCTTTCTTGGTCCCGCTCGAGGCCCATAACTCAGAATATTTATCAAAAACGGATGCACTTCGTACAACTTGGAAGATTGCACAGTCGCTGATTGTAAGTCATCGACATGAGTTTCCACTTAGATATTCCGAGGCGCTAGCCAACTATTTTGCTATGGATTACTTCACTCTTTTTGGTTCTTTTTATCTCATTTTCTGCAGCTTTAAAAAGGAAGCGACCTTCACAAGGTAAGAAAGCATGGATAAACGTATATTTTCCCTAATTCACCATTACTGTGAGTAGTAGCCTATGTGAACTCATTCGTCAATTTCACTAAGTTATTCCCCAAACAAAACGGTCCATATATGTTCGGTGAGAGTGTCCGTGTAATATCAAAAAGGGGCATTCAGTATGTCATTATCAAAAAGTTTCAGTTGAAAGTGGTCACACAATGCAAAATAGGATCTTTTTCTTTTATCTACTCGAAAATAATATTAGGGACCATTAAAGATGAAAAAGTTAAGGATACATACACGTATGTGGCTTGGGTTCCCGCCGTTATTTCAATAAACACCCTTTGTACAAGTGTACCCCTTGTTTGCATGTGTGGGATAAAAATATCCATGAACAATGTGATTTAACCATTCAATTTGTTTTCGAAATTACGTACCTTATCGTGTATTCTCAGTTGGCTTGTTGACTTATGATAGCCTATGTGAATTACATTATAAGTAACCAGTCCCGAAACCAAAGTTCAACAGTAATTAGGAACCCCATAAACACAATGAACTACGCTGAATGTGGACATAGGAGGCTGTGGGCATCATAGGACTTAATGCCTTCCCAGGGCTTTCAACCCTGGGAGTGTAGACAACCAGCCCATGTGCTATTGGGACGTTCATATTCTCATACTTTAACATTTATCTATATGCAAAAGTTTACAAGTTTTTATAGTTGCGTTGTTCTAAGATGGCACTGGAAGTTACTCAAACTTTTGCAGCAGGCTGGAAGCATTCCCAATAAGATGGCAGGGGCAGATCTTTTTCTTCGACAGGTACCGTGTTGTAACGGATTTTGTTTTCGTCCAAAGACTCACGTTTTCAGCTGATGTCTTGCTGTCATTTCTCCACAATTTTTATGAGGACCAGAGACACCCTTTCATGAAAACGTTCAGCTTTCAGGTGGCCAAAGCGCGGTTGGCCTATTCTTTCCATTTACGGTGCTCAGAGAATAGGATGAACAAGCGTAAGAGTGAAAACTATAAAGCAATGAAAGTGTCACAATAAAAACAATTAGTTGGATTGAAACTTTAAACATTATCAGATTATGTGGATACAAATATTCAAAAGGCAATGGTACAGCCGCGGTATTTGTAAATAATGTTAGCTTCCCTGCATACAGACATTATACAAAAATTATTTTAAAAAGTCTGTACGCACTACGAAAGGAACTCCAATAAACATGCAATGTTGCATATTCCTGAATTTATTTATATCAACACGATCCCCTCAGTCTCTTAACTGCCGCGACAATGGTAGATTCTTCATTTTATGCTAATGAAGGTCGTAGTGCCAAACCCGCCCTTCTGTTCTGATCAGTAGTGAGATAGAAAGAGCATTCATCGCCTGCTTTGACGAATTGCACTCCTGACACCTTTCGAGACATTCGTCTCACGAACAAGTTCTCACACAGAAATGGCTTCCAACGAACCGAGTCAGCTTGAAGTCAACATGTTTGTGTTCTTCTGTAACGGCAAAAAGGTATGGTTTTTCTTATCCACAAATAGGCTCCGTTAGGTCATAAAATGTGATATACGAGAGTAGTTTGAGTATGGCAACACCCACGGCCATCTCGCGCAATACAATGGGTTGTAATGTTCACGCATCATTGTAGGCGAATTTACGCCTGACATTAGCTGTCTATTTCCATAAGTATGAATTTTGCCTTATAAGCTATAACTTAACGAAAAATTAAGTCCTGAAAACGACCGATAGGAAATGTGCTAACGTGAAGAATCAAGTTGCGACACAAACTTAAGACGCAAGTAGCTGTCAGTGGATAAATGGCAGACTGCAAAGCACATATCTTTTGCGAAAGTGTGGTCCTGAAAAGGACCAATTGGTTTATGGGTGTTCTTCATGGCAGCTCAAGAGTTGCAACTTTTGGTAATTTCTCAAAAGTAGAGTTTCGTATCCAGCAGGGGGGGTAGGAGTGGCACCTTGCCCCCCCCCAACGGATTTGAAAACAAAAATTATATATCAAATAGCCTCAAACCCCTTAATAAGACAACCCTTTAAAAAGCAAGGATGTTGGGACCGGGAATAAGGCTTTTTTATACTCAAACTACAAGAAAAAAGGAGACAGAAACAATAAGCTTTTTGCGTGTGTCTGAGAGCCACAGCTTCGGGTGTTTATTCTCAACTTTCAACCAGAATACCAAAGTGCTGCAAACCGGGACAAAAGGCATTACCTCTGACCTCCTTGAAAAATAAATGAACCGTGTTCCCTTCACCTCCTTGACTACAGTTTAGATCCCAATGGCAGGTCTTTTACCTGATTACCAAATTAGGTACCATAATTAAAGACACCGAACGATACCCATGATCGCTATACACATGTATACTACCGCGGCAAACGAGCTCTTCGCTGCTTTAGTAGTCGAGAGTGGAGAGTTCTGGAGCACTTTTCCCCTAGGGACCTACCCAACCCTAAAAAATGAAAAAAATCTTTAAAAATTTCTACCTCCCCCTCTTTCCCTCCCTCCCCCTCACTCCTCACTAACGCTCTATCAACACCACCCTTCCCCTCATTCTCACCGCCGCTCACACTCTCCTAAAAAAATGGGTGTTAAAAGAAAATCATCACACCTACATACAAACCGCCAAACCAAAAATCGAGATGCCAGACCAAAGACAAAACTCTGAAACCGACATCAATCATATCGACGGATGTATTGCATGTAATAAATGCAACCATTGCAACAATTGTACAGATTCCAAATGTTGCGATCATTGAGAAAATATATAGGCCTATAGATGAAACAAATGTCACAGCGCTATTCACACAGTTTTTATAATGACGACGACAAAGAAGAACGTGTGTTGATCATGATGCCAAAAACGGTCTGCTACGGCATAAGTCCAGTCTATAAATTTGGCACCAAAGAAAAACTACCCAAATATCGTTGGACATCAAATCTTCTATCAACTCCAAGAGCCTATGATCGATATACTCGACCATTTAAATTTGCAGCTTAAATACAGCGGCACGCAAACGACTAAAAAGTCTAAAAAAAAAAAAAAACAACGATACGATCAACGCTTACAAAGTCAGTCGTGATTTAGGTGGAGTCATTCATCTGCCCTAAAGACGTCTATTATGGTACAAATGGATCTACGTCTTGCGGCGCTAGGGTTAGATAAAAAATCGAAAAAGCTATCTTAAAGATTAACAATGCCAATGCCACTAAGATCAAATCAATTATATCATTCAACATTCCACGAGACAAAGTATAGCGAGACCCCTTCTGTTCTCGTATAGCAATGTATTCCGAGGTAGGAAAAAATTGTATCCAAAATACAACCCGAAAATTATCATGACATGATTGATTCTGCGATCAGTACTTTTTTGAGGAGCTAAATGCACCAGACGCGTTTTGTGACCGAGGCGAGACCAAACTAAAACCAATCGAGACCTCTTTCGCTGTTTGTAGCGAAAGAGGTCTTTTTGATGTCAAGCAACCAAAGTAGACATACAAATCCCAAAGTCTGATGTCAGGTAACCAAAGTAAACATACAAATCCCAAAGTTTGATACAAAAAAATTCTAAAGTTTGATGTCAGGCAACCAAAGCAGACATGAAAATCACAAAGTTTGATGTCAGGCAACCAATGTTAGATACAAAATCCTAAAAGTTGGTTCAAATCTCAGTACATGCGAATCCCAAAGTTTAGTTCAAACGGGGCCAACGCTGTATAACTTGCTCGACGGTCCCAAGCGTTCTTGCACCTGTGCACACTTAAGCCACACTTAAACCATGGCCGAACGGTCGACAGAGGGCCAAACTTGAAATTGATCAAACTAACAAAGGACAATTCGCTATAGCTTGAACATAACATGGTAACCTTTTTCAGTCCTCTCTTCAGTGGCAATACCTGTCATAACCATGGCTCATGAATTCTTGCACGGCCCAGTCATAGGAACTGAAAATCACACGCTGCAATATTTAATCTTTCCCATGACTGGCTTTTATTTGCCATCAATTTTTGCCTCTAAATGAAGTTAGATTCACATGCCATATCAGCACGGCATAAATAAGGGAATAAAATGTGCTTGGCCGTTTAAGACGGACTAAGGAAAATGGACGCGACTAATGCCAGAGCTGCAGGCGAGGGCATTATCAGCGTTAAGTCTCCTGAGGTGGTCTTAAACTAACATTAAGACCGGCCAAGCACAAAACAGGTGTCTCACTTGAAAGATAAGTATTACGAATGATATTCGAGAGACACAGGCAGAGGTTAATTGGACGGCAATTTTGCAGATTGTCCCCCCGCCAAGAGCCCTGTTATTTTCCCAGGGTCCAAACTAACCAACCAATTCCAAGTCCAAACCAACTAACCAATTCTCCTCCAGGACCCATGACATATGTTTACACATTTCCCAGGGATCTTTGCCCTTTGAAATACAAAACCACAGTTTCATCTCATCTCTGTAACTGTACGATTGACCCGATACAAACCCATGCCGGGCCCCCACTTGTATGTCAACTGGGATTTAATTTAGTGGAATTTGGAGCCATTTCCGGCTGCTTGTTTTCTTTTTATACCAAGAAAGAGATTCAAACAAGTAGGATCATTTTGAAGGGAGGGTGGGGATGTGCTCACTCAGTAAGTAATTTCTGCAGGAAGTGACAGTCTATTGTTTGCTTTCCTAATCTGCCAGCTTTTAACCTGGCAAGGGAAATTGGGTCACTATATATAGACTTTTTTACCTACGTGACTAAAAATAAACAATACCACCACGTGTGGACCGCCTTCGCCACGGTGATTGCATATATTCCTACGGGCAGCTTCAACCACGTTTATCTTGTTTATGTTGAATATGTAGATAACCATCACAACACTATGCACTCATTACCATCACAACATAACATAGGTCAAGCACGATCGTGACATCACAGGAAAAGGTCTTTAGAGGCCCCACGTTCGTGCGCTGACACTGCGCTGTACACTCTCAGTGAGGCGATCTTCTAGAATCATTAGCCAAAAGGCTACATTTCTCGATGGGTGCTTAGTCGCACCTTTAATGCAATGCATTGAAGGTGCACTTTCAATTTGAAACACAATGCATTCTGTTTGAGCCTTGAGTTCATTGTTTCAAAAGACCTTCACTGTGGCTTGTACAAATAGGTTTGTGCCTTCAATACGGGCGATTCACAATAGTGCGCCTCCAAGAGTTTGCAACATGTTGGCCAATCACAATGCGCTAAATCTGTCAGCCCTTGCGAAACGCGCATTGGGTCGACAGATTTCGCTCGGTATGATTGGCGAGTGTGTTACAAACGCTTGGAGGCGCTTTATTGTGAAATGCTTGTATTGCGCATACATCTCACACATCACAGGATATCGCGCTGTTCATAATTTTGCCGTCGTATTTCGTTTTAAAAACAAAATCGGCAGTGCAATAGCTCGCCTGTGTTTACACAGATCTTACAATGATGAAAGCTATAAATCAAAGAAGTCATACTGAACGATTTTTCTTTTCAAAATCTATAAACGCGTTTGTATGAAATTCCAATTTTATAGAAGACTTTACATCGACACCATGGTTCTTGCTAAATTTCATTTCTTTCTTCTTGTGTCAATCCAGGTAGTTGACAAGCATGTTGACCCACAACTCACATTACTGACCTACCTTCGAACAAAATGTATCCTTTCTGAAAAAATATTATGGAATAAGCTAATAAAGCACAAAAAAGCAGCTACGTCTTCAGTAAGGTGGTGAAAACATCAACCAGAGGTTTATGACTTCAACCACACAGTAACAGAATTCTGCCTGCTGCTCCAAGGGTAACTATGACTTGCTGCTGCATAGCCCACAATCTCTTCACGGTTTTACAGATCCTTGCAAGAGCAATTTATTAAAAAAAAAATACCCAGAGGATTATGGGGGCTGTTTCTTTGCGATTATTGCAGAATATGGATTAAGGTCGCGTGAAGTTAATTGTGGGAAAGGTTGGATTCAAATAAATCAAATAACACAAGAGTAACTTAAAGTGAAGTCCTTCATACCAGCCTAGAATAAAGCCTGTCTCCACTTTCATATCCTGTTGAGAACAATGCAGCATCTCGTTTCTGACAAAAGACTTCAAGTCGATAATGTTTCCACAAATGCAATGATAATATCAAATACATTGTGTTAATTTCCTGAGTGACAAACAAAGTGCTTCTGACAGGAAGTAAGTTAGGATGCGGCGAAGGAGGTTGTGGGGCGTGTACAGTGATGCTGTCCAGGTATTCTGCCAAGGACCAAACGATCCGGTACGTGCTTTCTTTCAGTAACATCATAATCTAAGGTATACCCTCTATTTCCCCATTCTCCCTTTGCAGTGCATCAAATCCTCTACAGCAGTGTAAATTGATCAAGATGGATTTACTACACAACTTGGTTTTGGCATACTGAGGAGGTTTTGCGCAATGGTACATTTGCACTGGTATAACCCTATCTCTAACCCTCTCCCTTACACCGATTATATTTTTATAATTAAACTATAAACTAATCCAATACTCATTCAAAGCAAATCTACGAAACGTCCTGAAACTAACGTAACACATACCTTAAAAACCAAAGGGAAAATATGTAACAATCTCTGGGAGAGAAAGATATGACAAAAAAACAAATAGCTTCCCTCAAAAGAACGACTCCCTGTCCGAGAGAGCAATGCAAAGAGTTTAATTCCAAAAAAGTTGCAAGTGAAGAGTGCTCTGCACGTCATTGCCTGGCCACTGAAGTAGACAAGGTTTAAATTGTCACAAGGGTACGGGGAAGATAACCCTACCTGGAGCGTTTAGACATTTATATTACAGTCACCCATTTAGAATGGTAACTTTTGAACATTACTACACTCGTTTGTTGTATTGTAAATTGTATTATGCATCGCCTGTGTGGAGGAAATTTGTGCACTAAATTAGTTTTAAATGCGGGGAAGAGATTATTACTAATAATTCTAAATGTAGTCATATAGTCAAGTCAACGCGTGACTTTGCCTTCCTCTAAATGTGAATATCATTTTTAAAATGTTTGTACGCTTTCCAGTCACTTCGCAGTCAATGCCTGCCTAATTCCTATCTGTTATGTGCATGGAATGGCGGTTACTACGGTTGAAGGCATTGGCAGTACCAAGACTAGACTACATCCGGTACAGGTAAGTGCAAAAAGTTACTTCCTTCAAACTTTAGTCTGCAGTAACTCCCCCCCCCCAAAAAAAAAATAAGTATACAAATAAAATGATAGATTACTTACACCATTTAAGCAAAATCTTAGGGGCTCAACTGAATCCCCAATTTTTTTCGAGAATACAGAGATTTAAATAACGTTCATTTTGCCCAGAACGGGTTATTCGTAATACCTTTAAAGGGAAATAATACGGCCCACTCTTGTTGCGGGATTCACCCATATAATTGACTTTTCCTTTCCAGTTTCCATCCAGGGCTTCACCTTTCAATATTGTTCACTGTTGGCTCCTGGGCTCACGGCTTTTCAACAAAACAGCTGCAAAACTAACCAATCAACCAATCAAAATGATTCACCAACGAATATGGGAACAAGAAAGAGAAATACTTTGGTGTCATTATATACAGGAGCGCCTTGCTAAGGCCCACGGCTGTCAGTGTGGTTTCTGCACTCCGGGCTTCGTCATGTCAATGTACACGCTGCTGAGGAACAATCCACAGCCAACTATGGAGGAGATTGAGAGTGCTTTCGAGGGGAATCTGTGTCGCTGCACAGGCTACCGCGCCATCCTGCAGGGGTACAAGTCGTTCACTAAGGTCAGAACTACACTCCATGAGGCTGAATAATGGCCAAGGCTTAATTGAAATTCCGGCACTAAACCAAATGAACATGGCCTGATATCACTGTAGGATCAACACTTTCTGAGTTTATATATTCACAATCTATCACTCTCAGACGAAAAAGCACATAAAGAATTTCAAAAACATATTTTTGTAGGAAGGATGCTGCGGAAGTAACAAGAACTCCACTGGCTGCAGTGAGGTTGCAGACGGGGTAAGTAAGCGATAGTTACATTAACTTGAAAGCTTAGCCTTCTACTCACGAACCATCTCCACGATGAATGCTACAATTACGCAAGCTCTTAATGAGGAAACGGCACTCTCATTCTGTGCAGCTTATGCCCTACTAATGGTTTAAAATTCCCCATTGAACCATAGGTAACAAGGTACCCATCAGAGGTTGCAAATAGGTAGTCATGGTGATTAGCGAAATCAACCTTAGTTCACATACATGTATTACTAAACCATACCCCATCAAAAACACATTAAAATTCTGCAATAGCAGTACTCCAGTCGATTAAGCAATATTGGTAGGTTTTGGACATCGTTTTACACCTAGTAAAAACTCTTTTATTTTCCAACGTGCAGGTCTTCGGGGATGCGAGAGATGACCAGAAACTAGAGACTTTTTTGGCCTTAGGATATGCTTTTTATTTGTTTTATTCGTGTTTTTATTTTTGATTCATTTTTATGAGTAGTTTGTTCGTTTCAAATGGGTGCAGCTTTTCTGTTCGACTCCAGGTGTCTACTAGCTTGTTTGATCCCAGTGAGTTTGTGCCGTACGATCCTTCTCAAGAACCCATATTCCCGCCGGAGCTCATGGTAAATATCTTCTACACTACTTTCTGCTCCGAATCGTGGCTTAATGAACGCTGCCTAAAATGAGGCAAAAACTTTTATGTTGTCCTCAGCCACCTTTTTAAAACGCCAATTATTCTGCATTTCGATAAGAAACCTGATTTTACCGTAAAGGCCTACGTCTGTTCCTTTCTCTAAGGTGTCTAGACATGGAAAGATCGTACAGTGAATAGTGACCTCTGGATAGTGAACACTGAACACACCCACTGTTGCGTGTAGTCATGTCCAGGGGAGATGTTGACACAAGTCAAAATGATCACAAAGCTTCAATTAAATACCGGTCTAAGACTTGGAATTTATGAAAATTATAAATTTTGGAAAAAATTAAAATGTGACCCAACCAACGACGAAACTCAATCTTCAAATAAATCACTGCTACAAAAATGAACGATTTGTTGGCACCTGTTAGCTATACATTTTGTTCGATAACACTTTGGGCCGCCGCTTGTGCTCTCACGATAGCCAATGCATGAAATTGACAATTACGAGGTGCCCGTGGCGGAGATGTTGGGAACGTAGCGACTGTTGTCACCAACATGTATGTCTTTAAATCCGTGGCGTAAATTTGTTAGAAAAACATTCTGGCACAAATTGACTGGCAGACCCTTGGGGGGGGGGAAACTTGTCCAACCATGGAAACTTTCAAAGCCGGAAGAGGGATTGCTGACATCGCCTGACACTATATGGGGGTGATGTTCATGACGCATAATGTAGCACATTCCTGCAGAATGGCTTTTTATTATTCTCCCTTGCTAACGGATTCATTTTGGTTGTTGGAAAGTCCGAAAAAATAATCTTCAAAATCTGCCTTATATTTTTGCACTACGGAAAAGTGGGGAAGATTCAATAACCCACGCCCTGTCAAAAGTGATGGGGATATATATATAAAACCCCATCCCCCGTGATTTACGCCAGTGCTTTAACCCTAAAAGAGTCGGGTTAGTTTGGCAGCCAGGGGGTGGATTCCGCCCCACCCCTAAGAACTCGGCTGTGCCAGGCCTGATTTTTTAAAATTTAGCCCGTATAAACACTCTTTATCATTATAAATATGAAATTTGAACTCAATTGAAGGTTTTGTTTTGTTGTTATAAGTCATTTGAAGTTCATGGCTACATGCGTACTAGTACGCGTGTTTAGCACGGCGGTGGAAAAAGCATACATTTTTTGGCTGACCTGTCTCGAGAAAAGGCGCCCTACGCGAGAACAGCATGTTAAAATTTTGCAAAAATAGTGTAAAAATGACTGCAAAGAATTACTCTAAAAGCTCCTAAAGGCTCAACTCAACAAAAAATTGCAGTGCGTCAATATCGCAAAAAATGTTGAGGGAGTGGCGACTTTTTATTTATTCAACAAGTTAAGACTGTTTCACGCCAATAAACGAACATGTATTTTTTGTTATCCAGATTTGCTCGACTCAAAGAACACTATTAAATTGTTGGGTGAAATTTTACTAGAGAAATGCCCCCGTTTTTCAAATGACCAATTTTCATTTACTTGAATAGCTCAGGCACAGAGAAGAGCCTACCAAATTGTTGAAATTCGTCAGTGAGCAAATTACTTGGTTTCGCCCAGTCACAGTGCAACAAGTGCTCGACATAAAGGACAAATACCCAGAAGCTAAGATGGTGGTAGGAAACTCAGAAATTGGTGAGTGAAGCTGAATCTTCTGCACTGAAAACAACATACAGAAGTACCCAGAGAGAATATGTATCCCTTCCATTTTAGAGCAGGAAAGATAAAGTTTATTCTCAAAGCAAGAAACATTGAATAGGTGGAAATTGCCCCTAAAAAGTTTGATGGTTGCATTTCTTTGGGAAAAGTAACTTTTTCCGATTTGTGTGTTGCGTTAATTAAGGTGTGGAAGTGAAATTTAAGGATCAAGTCTACCCTGTCTTGATTGACGTGAATCATATCCCTGCTTTGACTGAAATCAGTACCACGCCCACCGGAGTCAAAGTGGGAGCATCTGTGTCTCTAACTGAACTGAATCACTTTCTCCCGTCGGTTATGCAAGCACAGCCAGGTAAGCATGCAGGAAAAGACTGGCAGACAACAGAAATCGACCATGTTACGAAGAAGGACTGTGAAAGTCCCGGTCTGTGCGAGTGGGAGTAAAAATTATCAGGAAGATCACTGCAGTTTAATTTAGAAAGATCTTTGGCTGCATTTGTTTGTCTCGCGTCAGTAGTAAAGGCTAATAGCCTAAATGTTCGAACAAATATTTTTTAAATTCACTCTGTGAGAGAAATAACTGTGAAAGCATCCTTTCCAAAGCACAAACCGTGTGATAAGTGACCATTTTTGGTTGCGTCTTTACACATTTTTCTACAGAGCATAAAACTCGACTGTATGCAGCCATTGTGGAGATGCTTCGCTGGTTTGCTGGACACCAGATCAGAAATGTCGCCGTAAGTAGTCTTATACGTTATCAACTTTTATGTTCTTTGCAAGATGATGCACCAGTATTGCACTATACACAAGAAGATCCTTGTCCAACCGCTTTTTAAATCCATCCATCAACCCCAGATTTTGTATTAGAGAACCAAAATGAAAATGAAGTTAAGATAACTACACATTTTCCCATTTATTTGTTAGGGCTGTGTTTGATTTCTATAAATTGTTTGACATTAAATTTTAGTCGCTCGGTGGCAACATAGCGACTGGAAGTCCCATATCTGATCTGAATCCCCTGCTGATGGCTTCAATGAGCACACTGCAGCTCGCATCTCAAACAGGTAATCACAATACACAGCTACGGGCACGACAGGATAAAGATATGGGGAGGTGTAAAAAGATGCGAAGAAGTCGTAAAGTTGGAATATCCACATTCCTTCTGGGTTGTGGTTTAACCCTAAAAGAGTAAGAGCGGAGCCCCCCCCCATTTTCTTCCCGATATCGCCACAGTACATTTTTATTCAGAAGTTGAGCCTTTTAAAGATTTGAGAGTAAGTCTTTACAGTCATTTTGACACCGATTTTGTGAAAAACGGTTCTTGCGTAGCGTGCATTTTTCCGAGACAGGTCAGCCCAATATACTTTTTCTACGCTGTGTGCTCTCGGGCTGGCACGCGTTTAACCTTGAACTTCAAATGACCGTAACAACAAAGCTATATGTTTGATTGAGTTCCAACTTTGCATTTGTAATGATAAGGGGTATTTTTAAATCCCTCGGCTGTGAGATGGACCAAAATAACCCGGCTCTTTTAGGATCAAGAAACGTAATTCAGCCTCTGAAAACGATAAGAAAAACCCTTGTTGCAATGGGGTCATTATAACAAAAATTGACTTACTGAACTTTGTTCAACTAACAGTTGCCCACAGCGTGAAAGTATTTAGATAACTCTTTGACCCAACTCATGTCATTTCTTATTTGTGTGTGTAAGTTATTATTTTTCTATTTAGGTACACGTACCGTTACTATGGATGGCAATTTCTTCACCGGTTACAGAAAGAGCGTGATTGGCAAAGATGAAGTCATTGTGACCGTAGACATCCCGTTCACAAGTGAGGTAAATGCAGATGAAACAAATAAGACATCACGAAATAAGTTTGACTGTGTCCCGGTGATACGGGTGCCATCTTTAACATTTCATTTACACTATCAAACAACTTAACACAGTAGGGGTAATGTAGTTCACAGAATAAAACGCATAGCCGTGTGAACATTAGTTCTAAGGGGGCCGTTGAAAGAATGCACTATTTGGTAGTGTTGCATGTGTTTTATGACGTCAAATCGAGAGGTCAAAGAATTTTCTGATGGGCAACATAAACTGTTTGGCAGAACGAGTATTTCTACGGGTACAAGCAAGCTTCACGACGCGAAGATGATGTCTCCATAGTCAATGCAGGTATGAGAGTGATCTTTAAGCCCGGCAGCAATGTGGTCGCGGATTGCACCCTGGCCTATGGAGGCATGGCTCCAACAACAGTCTTGGCCAAGAAGACAATGAAGGCTATCACGGGAAGGTAAGTTTAGATGTTCTCAGTGGTATACAAATATTTGATTAAGCCTAGAATTGGGCCTATAGATAAGATTGTCACTCTGTGTTATAAAATACCTTGAGCGTAATACATGTTCGTCTTCCTTACATGTAAATCAAATGATACTTCCTTATGGTTGGATTCAAGACTGCTAGTGACGCATGGATGATCCTGTTCATAAGTTAGTATCCAGTTTCAGTAACGTCATTAAAAAGTACATTTTTTAGCGGCGTAAGAATATCAAAGAATGGAATTTTCACTTCGCTTTGCATTATCTGTATGACTACAGTCAGCCTCTCTTACTTTTCATATAATGTATTTTCAAAGAGATTTCCATTGACCGTGAACGTCTTGGGCAGCCCTGATGTAATAAGTCACCATTTCGCCTGCAGGAAATGGGAACACGATTTGGTTGAGGCAATGTATCCTACGCTTGGAGAGGATTTACCTCTGCCTCCCGGTGCTCCAGGGGGCATGGAGCCCTATCGCCAGTCGCTCACCTTGAGTTTCTTCTTTAAATTCTACTTGACCGTCCTGGAGCAAATTAGTTTGAAGATGGTGAGCTATTGCCAGTAATAATTGTTAGCGTCGTTTGTTTACAATCTGTAAAACGGTGACAGTAAAAGGGCCTATGCATGGCGATGTCTTTATAAAAACCTTGAGGATGCACCTTTCTGGTAATGAAACCAAAGATTCCTCAAAAGGGTATAGCCACTGTAGCTCGTAAGTCTGAAGAAACCTTGTTTTGTTTTCTTGCTGGCGATGTGCATTTTGTTTAATAGTTTAGAGTTAAGTAAAATTGTTTGTTTCATTCATCACTAAGCCCGGATTGAATGAAATCAGTGTGCCAACGTCCTACAAGACGGCCACTCAGAGCTATCAAAAGCATCCTGCAATGGGAGTACAGATGTATCAGGTAATTTTTTTTCTTATCGACAAAAGAATTTGTGCAACAGTTTTTACTTAACATCAGTCTTCCTCATTCCGAATTTAAAAAAAGGAGGTATCCCCACTCTAGAGAACTGATCTTCAATACTTATATCACAGGAGGTACCAGCTGGTCAGCCCGAGTCTGATGCAGTGGGTCGACCTTTGACCCATCAGTCCGCCTTAAAACAGGTCACGGGAGAGGCTGTGTATGTGGACGATCTTCCTTCTATTAAAGGTTGGTACATTTGTAACACTTCTGTCTTCATTATTACAAGGGCATGAAGGTTTAGGTAATAAATTAATGTCGATGTAACACTCTTGGGCGCATCACTGTACATTTTCATTTACATTTCCGTGAATGGTGAATAAAAAAAATATACTTTACATGTTTATTTATTGCAGGCCTAGTCATTACGTCTTAATTTTCTCTATACTCAAAAAGGTCAAACGCTCAAAAAGCAATAAGAGGATGTATCATATTACCGAACAAAAATTATGTCCAATCTTCCAATACACTTGAAATTTAGATTTATTTCCATTATAGTGTAATTCGACAACCAAAATTAGAATCCATCATGGCGGTGGAGCAACGCTCATGGACAGGTGGTGCGTGCGCGTTACATGCCTCTTTGACCAGTAGGGTGTCGTGATTTGCCAAATGTACGCGCGCTTCAAGCTTAAGAACGTGCGTGTGAGTAAAAGGTACTCTGGTGAAGGTACAGTGGCCAATGCACGCCCATACTCACTGTACATATCAAAGAAACGCTGCGCCCTCTTTATCCCCCGCCCCGCATATCGCAGTGAGGTCGAATTTTTGCAGAGGCAGTGAAACATTAATGGCTTTCGACCTACAGTAAAGTTAATAAATTTAAACCATTTCAGGGCAAAACCCCTCATTAAAGTACATCGTGAAATTTCTAAGTTTCTCCAAAGCTATTACCGTGCATTCGGTATTTCAATACAACAGGGTGTTTCCCTGTTGCATCAGAGCGCTTCCTCACGGTGCTCCGGTGCTTCAGCAAGCTCTACCTGTCGGTATTCACATTTTCCGTTATAATGGGTCGAAAAAATCTTAATTGGTCCAGAGGTATATCAATCATGGCGTAACCAAAAGCTTAAACCATTAGCAAAACAGAGCACGGTGCTGACCAATGCAATGTTCCCGCCTCTCAAAACCGGGTATCTGAGGCGAAGGGGGGAGGAATCCATGCCCCCTCTCTCATTTACGCTAGTATTCATAAATATATGAACCGATGGAGGGAAGGGTGTTAGCCTGTTACATATATCAGTCATAATTATGTTTGTCAAGAATGGAGTATGGGCTCTATTTGTGAAACGTGATTTTACAAAATAGTGGCATGGATTAAAATGTCCACAGCCCCGAATTACTTTTGCAGCCCTGTATTACTCAAATTAAGTAATCAAAATAATATTTTTATTCGCTCTCTGAGGTCCGACAACGTCAGTGAAATAAAAAAATTCATGTGCGTTGAGGACTGCACTGCGTGATCTCGTGCGCGTTACGTAGAAGCGTATCCGCTCCGAGCGGAACAAAAGAGGGCGTGGTTGATGTTGTTACCGTTGCTGCTGTTGTTGTTTTGGTACTTTGGTACTTAGGCGCGCCATGACGCGTGCAAGTATTGACGGGGAGCACGCTGAGAACGCGTAACTAATTTAATCTGGCATGCATGGTTTTTGTGTACACGCAGAACGCGTGCAAGAACCACTTGTCTCAGTTTCTTTTCGCCGATTGGGGGTGCACTTCAGCTCGGGGCGGATAGAGCATCATGACGCCCTGTGCTAGGGAAAACTTGGCGTAGCGCACAAGAATAGGCCTGACCCCTCTAGCTTTATATCATCTATTGTCTACTGTCATCACCTCTGACGCTGTGTAAGACCAAACGCTTTACGCTTCTGGCGGGTTCTTGAACTAACTCAAAAATCCTACTTAACCCCGTTATTCCCCAGGTGAACTCTACCTTGGCTTGGTCTTAAGCAAGAAAGCTCATGCCAACATCCTGTAAGTTCTCTTCAGGTTCCTTTGTATTAACCTCAAACCTCAGAATATGCACCACATTGAGCAAGCATGAACTTTGACACAAAACTTCTCTGACAATTAAGCCTGGGGCATTGACTTTAGTTTTTTTTAACTGATTAACAGCTGTGGGATGTTGAAAGAACAAACCTTTTTCTAACGTAACGATGCTTTCCAATTTCCTTGTAATTTTATATTGTAATCTTTTATCTCCAGGTGCGGCGTATTTGAAATAAACATGCATCCATAATTTTATCAGGGAGCAATGTTTGTAACTGCTTTTTCGACCTGATGCTTTTTTGAAATGCTTTCAACCCTCTTCACGTATGTGGAGCCTAAATTTTATGAAATCAAAGATATTTTTAATGTGACCAAAATGACATAGATCCGTGGATACAAGTGCAGCTTTAGCAGTGGATGGCGTTCATGCTTTTGTGGACGTCGGTGATGTCCCAGGGAGCAACGAATTAGGTGCAACGCCGATCCAAGATGACTTACTTTTCGCTGACAGGGAGGTATGACTTATCAGAATGTCTTCTCCTCATATCTCTCCAGCTATGAAAGATCAACTTTAGCCAACTCTCGTATTCAACTCTCAATGGTGATTCAACTATAACATGCGTTGAATCGGAGTAAAAGTTAAATTGCCATCAAACTTTTTTAAAATTTTAATGTGGCATACCTGAGAAGGTAAGCCTCATAACTACCGTTTATATGAAACCATCAATATTCTGAGCCTGACTGGACTGACCTGGAGAATTTAGCCTCGGAGTTATCAGATGAGTGCACACATAGGCCCTAGGTGTTTTTTCGAAGAATAAATAATCCGCTCCGAGCGGAACAAAAAAGGGCGGGTTTTTTTGGTACTCACTGCATAGGTGCGCGCCATGAGGCGTGCATGTTTTTGTGCGTTTGATACGGGACACCCTGGGTACGAGTAACTAGTTTATCCGGTTCGTAAATGTGACGTCACATCAGTTTAAACCACGCCCACTGCACACGTGCACTGTACATATGGTTACATGCATTGATTGCCGTTTACGAGGAACCATGGAACCGGTAGTTCAATAATGCGCAACTTCAGCGATCGTCCGATGGAAGCCTGCAAATCGTGGCCCGTCTGCCTTTGTGACGAAGTCACGGATTGCGGCATGCATGGTGCGTACACGCAGAACGCGTGCAAGAACCCGCTTGTAACCATCTGTCATTATTTCGCCGATTGGGGGTGCACTTCTGCTCGGAGCGGATTAAACAAGATCTGGTAAACTGAAGAAATGCTATGGCCTTAAAATTCGTGAAAGTCTGGACGTACCTCACCAGCCGTTCACAGGGACAGACTATGTGAAATAGTACGCTTAGGACTACGGTATGATGTCATTATGAGCATACTTGTTAATACATCTTATTCATGAAATTTGAGAAAAGATTTGAAAATATAAAATACAGTTACTGGTACATTTTGTTGCATATCGTATAGTATCGTATTCGTATAACGTATACAGTAGTTGCAAAGGTTGAATCAGCTCATTGCTTAAAACTCGGAATATTTCTCCCGCATTCCTGANAATGTCTTTATAAAAACCTTGAGGATGCACCTTTCTGGTAATGAAACCAAGGATTTCTCAAAAGGGTATAGCCACTGTAGCTCGTAAGTTTGAAGAAACCTGTAGAGAGAAAAGAAGACAATGAGTTTAATTGTGCACAAAAACCCCAGAGGAATATTCTGGGTAAAACCCATGAAATCAGGTAAGGACCGAAAACCCAATCCACATGTATACAATGTACGTTTCCATTTACCATATATTAATTTTTCATCTCTTACTTTGAAAGATTTTTGAACCTATTTGGCTTATGTTCTAATGTGAACATCCTCATCCATGATTAAAAATGTAATATCACGTCTTCTCTTGGTTTGAGCTGGAAACCAAACTGAGCAGCGCCTTCCATGAATTCACAGCAGCAGCGCCCAGCTCTCCCGAAAGCTAATATAAGTGCAATTATTTTCAAAACACTTTACCCAAAAAGAGTGTCTAAAAATTCATTGCAAGGACCCTCGAAATGGTCTGCTTTTGCTTTCCAATAAAAACACGTGACGAACGACTGGCCAGTATATATAAAGGTGGTTTTAGTTAGGAACTGTGAAATTCAAAGTTGTTTTGTTTTCTTGCTGGCGATGTGCGTTTTGTTTAATAGTTTAGAATTAAGTAAAATTGTTTGTTTCATTCATCGCCAAGCCCGGATTGAATGAAATCAGTGTGCCAACGTCCTACAAGACGGCCACTCAGAGCTATCAAAAGCATCCTGCAATGGGAGTACAGATGTATCAGGTAATTTTTTTTCTTATCGGCAAAAGAATTTGCAAAAGCTTTTACTCAACATCAGTCTTCATCATTCCGAATTAAAAAAAAAAAGAGGTTCCCCCACGCAAGAGAACTGATCTTCAAAATTTCAATATCACAGGAGGTACCACCTGGTCAGCCCGAGTCTGATGCAGTGGGTCGACCTTTGACCCATCAGTCCGCCCTAAAACAGGCCACGGGAGAGGCTTTGTATGTGGACGATCTTCCCACTATTAAAGGTTGGTACATTTGTAACACTTCTGTCTTCATTATTACAAGGGCATGAAGGTTTAGGTAATAAATTAATGTCGATGTAACACTCTTGGGTGCATCACTGTACATTTTCATTTACATTTCCGTGAATGGTGAATAAAAAAGCATACTTTACATGTTTATTTATTGCAGGCCTAGTCATTACGTCTTAATTTTCTCTATAATCAACAAAGTCAAACGCTCAAAAAGCAATAAGAGGATGTATCATATTACCGAACAAAAATTATGTCCAATCTTCCAATACACTTGAAATTGAAATGAAATTATCTCTATTATAGTGTAATTCGACAACCAGAATTAGACGCCATCATGGCGGTCGAAAAAAATCTTAATTGGTCCATAGAGGTATATCAATCATGGCGAAACCAAAAGCTTAAATCATTAGCAAAACAGAGCACAGTGCTGACCAATGCAATGTTCCTGCCTCTCAAAACCAGGTACCTGGGGCAAAGGGGGGGGGGGAATCCATGCCCCTTCTCTCAGTTACGCTAGTATTCATAAATGTATGAACCGATGGAGGGAAGGGTGTCAGCGTGATAAATATATCAGTTATAATTATTTTTGTCAAGAATGGAGTATGGGCTCTATTTGTGAAACGTGATTTTACAAAATAGTGGCAGGGATTAAAATTCCCACAGCCCCGAATTACTTTTGCAGCCCAGTATTACTCAAATCAAGTAGTCAAAATAATATTTTCATTCGCTCTCTGAGGTCCGACAACGTCAGTGAAATAAAAAAATTCATGTGCGTTGAGGACTGAGGACCGCACTGCGTGATCTCGTGCGCGTTACATGGAAGCGTATCCGCTCCGAGCGGAACAAAAGAGGGCGTGGTTGTTGTTGTTGCCGTTGCTGCTGCTGTTGTTGCTGTTGTTGTTGTACAACAACAACAACAACAACAACAACAACAACAACAACAACAACAACAACAACAACTTGTTGTTGTTGTTGTTGTTGTTGTTGTTGTTGTTGTTGTTGTTGTTGTTGTTGTTGTTGTTGTTGTTGTTGTTGTTGTTGTTGTTGGGAAACTTGTCGTAGCGCACAAGAATAGGCCTGACCCCTCTAGCTTTATATCATCTATTGTCTACAGTCATCACCTCTGGCGCTGTGTAAGACCAAACGCTTTACGCCTCTGGTGGGTTCTTGAACTAACTCAAAAATCCGACTTAACCCCGTTATTCCCCAGGTGAACTCTACCTTGGCTTGGTCTTAAGCAAGAAAGCTCATGCCAACATCCTGTAAGTTCTCTTCAGGTTCCTTTGTATTAACCTCAAACCTCAGAATATACATCACATTGAGCAAACATGAATTTTGACACAAAACTTCTCTGACAATTAAGCCTGGGGTATTGACTTTAATTTTTTTTAACTGATTAATGCAGCTGTGGGATGTTGAAAGAACAAACCTTTTTCTATACGTAACGATGCTTTCCAATTTCCTTGTAATTTTATATTGTAATCTTTTATCTCCAGGTGCGGCGTATTTGAAATAAACATGCATCCATAATTTTATCAGGGAGCAATGTTTGTAACTGCTTTTTCGACCTGATGCTTTTTTGAAATGCTTTCAACCCTCTTCACGTATGTGGAACCTAAATTTTATGAAATCAAGGATATTTTTAATGTGACCAAAATGACATAGATCTGTGGATACAAGTGCAGCTTTAGCAGTGGATGGCGTTCATGCTTTTGTGGACGTCGGTGATGTCCCAGGGAGCAACGAATTAGGTGCAACGCCGATCCAAGATGACCTACTTTTCGCTGAAAAGGAGGTATGACTTATTAGAATGTCTTAGGGAGTTAAAATTCCGCTCATATCTCTCCAGCTATGAAAGATCAACTTTAGCCAACTCTCTTATTCAACTCTCAATGGTGATTCAACTATAATATGCGTTGAATCGGAGTGAAAGTTAAATTGCCATCAAACTTTTTTTAAAATTTTAATGTGGCGTACCTGAGAAGGTAAGCCTCATAACTACCGTTTATATGAAACCATCAATATTCTGAGCCTGACTGAATTGACCCGGAGACTGTAACCTCGGAGTTCCCAGATGAGTGCACACATAGGCCCTAGGTGTTTTTTCGAAGATTAAATAACCCGCCCCGAGCGGATCAAAAGAGGGCGTATTTTTTGGGTACTCACTGCATATGTGCGCGCCATGACGCATGCAAGTATATGTGCTTTTGATACGGGACACTCTGAGTACGAGTAACTAGTTTATCCGGTTCGTAAAAGAGACGTCACATCAGTTTAAACCACGCCTACTGCACACGTGCACTGCACATATGGTTACATGCATTGATTGCCGTTTACGTGGAACCATGGAACCGGTAGTTTAATGATGAGCAACTTCAGCGATCGTCCGATGGAAGCCTGCAAATCGTGGCACGTCTGCCTTTGTGACGAAGTCACGGATTGCGGCATGCATGGTGCGTACACGCAGAACGCATGCAAGAACCCGCTTATAACCAACTGTCATTATTTGGCCGATTGGGGGTGCACTTCAGCTCGGAGCGGATTAAACAAGATCTGGTAAACTGAAAAAATGCTATGGCCTTAAATTCGTGAAAGTCTGGACGTACCTCACCAGCCGTTCACAGGGACAGACTATGTGAAATAGTACGCTTAGGACTACGGTATGATGTCATTATGAGCATGCTTGTTAATACATCTTATTCATGAAATTTGAGAAAAGATTTGAAAATATAAAATACAGTTACAGGTACATTTGGTTGTATATCGTATAGTATTGTATTCGTATAACGTATACAGTAGTTGCAAAGGTTGAATCAGCTCATTGCTTAGAACTCCGAATATTTCTCTCGCATTCCTGG